AATGTTATCAAAACTATTTAATTTTACATCGATATAACGAGTTTAACCAAAATAGTTATAATCATAATGATACTGTTTTCGAGAAAAATGTATGACACCGATTCTATAAAGGGCCCCTTCCGATTATCGATTTTGGCAAAAGAGTTTGTGTACTTCTTTGAAGTCCAGTATCTTTCTTATAGAATCTTTCCGAAGAAAATTTTAAGTATCGCTTTAAATCATGTAAATGAGCAATGTGAATGTTTTATAATTTAAATCATGTTTAATCACTTGATGAATATTTACGGTGATGTATTATGGAATAACATTGCGAAACATTGGTGAAATAATGAAATTAATACAGAAATTCATACATAAAAATATAAGAGGTCATCTTTTCGCTTATATATATATATATATATATATATATATATATATAATATATATATATATATATATATATATATATATATATATATATATAGTGTATTAACATCTGACTTCCAATAGACTTTTAAATGTATATAATATCAATTGATTTTAAAGGCGTATAAAGCTAAGAAACACTATTAAAAAAAAAAAAGAGTAAAAGGGAGAAAAAGAAAATTTGGCCATATTCTATTGACAAATCCTTAGCTTTTTATTTTAATTTTGTTAACACAATATACATACAGCTTGGGGGCGGGGTGACCGAGCGAGTTAACGTGTTTGCGTTGGCCGGCAATCTGATTAACTCAAGTTTATATGACAAAACAATTAGTTCGTGTCCCAGTGCCGAAGGAATTCTAACTCTGGCGTTTAATCCCCCACCCTTCCCCTCGCCCCTTCAGTAACACCGACAAAAAAAAATACCAAGAACTTTAAAACGTTGATAAAGAGTATTTTCATTCAATTTTTTTAATATAAATCTTTTAATATTACTTTAAACATCATATAGAAGATCATGTGGCCCTCCATAAAAAACTGCGCGTAGATTTTCTGTGATGTGATGTTCAAATTTCTATTAGATCCTCAAAACTTACTATTATGCCTAAAACAGCAACACTAAAATACAAAAAAAATAATTTCGTAGCGCAATTTTTTTCTATACCGCCCTGTGCTGCGCTGCGCTGCGTCATGGTTTTAGGAAGGTCTAAACTAGTAAATATCAAAGCTAATATTGATTGGTGGTTGACTGGTTATGCCAAATACATTATAATCTTGCAGTATTTTACATATAAATATATACCATATCGACAGTAAAATGAGATACATCTATGTGCAAAAAATTTGTAAGTCTGTAAATAATGCAGGGACTCCAAATCCCTTTACAGATCTGTAGTACACAACGGGCCCTCTGCCATGTGAAATATATATGTATATATATATATATTTGTATAAAAGTCATATAAATGCGTCGATATATAAAAAAAAATCGTGATAGTAGAAAGTTTATTCGATGTAACTAATGATATGATATTAATTATGATATTAACAACAAGCTGCAAAACTTTGTCAATGTTTAACAAAACCTAATTCAGATTAATATTACCTTTCATGTAAAATATTATTCGATTAATATTTAAAGACTTTATTCAGTTTATGAACCTATTATTAAAAGCAATTTCATAACAGCAAACATCTATTATTAAGGATATGGAATAGTGTGACTTTTTTCAAGAAAGTTATTATTCCGTTCACTGAGGATAGGAAATTGTCGGTCGAGGGAAAAAAATATAGTTAATGGATTAAGTTACCTGCAAGCAGGATGTGGTACGCAGCCCATCGGCTCCCATTTGAGTCATCCATGTTTTTTCTTAAGAGGTTTCAACTAACAACAAATAAATATTTTCGTTCCATGCTATAGACATCGCCAATGACCGCCGATGTATTTTAGATAGACTCGTATATAAAGTCTTTAATTGTTTTTTAATTATGAATAATTTATAAAGCATGAAAACATTATGTAGCTCACAGGAGGAGGGGGCTTTTAGGCTGAAGCTACCCTATTCTCCTCCCTTCTCTCCCACAAAATGGTAAAATTTAACTATGTTTTATAATAAACATTTTAAAAAAATTATCTCTTTAACTATTATTGTTCCTGTAATTACATTTAATAGGACTTCAAGAATCACTTATAGACAATTTCATAGTAAGGTAGTTAGTATTTTTTTTTTCCAAAGTAATTGTCGTTATATATATATATGAAAAAAAAAAACTTTCGGGCTGAAGCCCCCCTCAAAAAATTAAATCCTGGATCCGCTAGTGATATAGTTGATGAATATATAGTGAAATCAATGACATTTTATATCAGTATTTCTTTCTCTTTATTATTTAATACCTATGGCCACAACCAACAGACAAATTGATAGGAAGAATATGGGAACAAAATGAAAACTTAGCTTTGAAGGCATGGCACGTAGGTACCCCTATGGCTTTATACATCGAATGATAAAGGACCAGAATATATGAAATGGAGTGAAAACAATAATAGTAATAAATTAAATAATAACGATGCGTCCATCCAGGGTCTTCTGATTCCTCATACATTGTTTTGAATTTCAGTCGGAGACATGTCTTTTATAGAAGGTTGATGATTCGTGATAATTCATCTGAAAAGTTGTTTTAAGTTTTTAAATCTCAATATATAAGGGTAGTGTAATATTTCTAAATTGCGGGGATATCTGTGCGATAATATAATCAAGTAAGCAACAAGACCGTTCTCCTCCATACCCTGTCTACGCTAGTCAACAATTTCGGGCAAAGCAACTAGTAAATTAAGAAATTTTCGGCCTCCACTCCGAGTAAAGGGGTAAAACATAATTTAGTGCCGGAAATTTGAACTTGTATTACAGAATGGAACTAGTTTCCGCAAACAATCACTAGTATCATAGAGCTCAATCCAAATAGCTTTGAATTTCAGCCTGAAAAATCGAATTTCCACTCGCTTAAAGTAATATTTAAAATTAAAAGTGATCAGAATCAATAGAAGGAGGATGCATGAGAAAGTGGCATCAAATTTGGACTTGAATCAATTTTTTGGTTGGGCAATCTTTTTTTAGTCTGATTAATTAATCTCCATACTCAACCCTCTGTTTAAATTTTACTTTTCAAGTCATTTCAAGCTTCAAAGTCGTTTGGTACGGATACGATTTATAAACGTTCAGTGAATATTATGAAGATACCGACTAACTAATTAAATAAGAGTAACCATTAGAATAAAAAAATACAGATGGATGACTGAGAGAACGAGAAAGAGAGCATTCTACCCCAGTTTTGAGAGATTAAATAATTAAATCATTTAGTAGCTATTATACATTAGTAATATATATAAAACTTGAATTGAGGGGTGCCCATCTCCTCTCCTCCTCCACGGTCGATGGTGTAAGAATCTAGCCCCCCCCCTCCTTCCAAGCAATTTTATTGCTCACCTTTTCTTAAAAACAGTACAAGATAAGGTAGAATTAGAAAAAATCATAGATAATATACAATTACAGTTGCTGCGGTCTGTTCCATGTTTTCCCCTTGTCCCTTAGTCCAAAATTTATAACTCCATTGAAATTTGCTCCTCTCAAAAATTCAAAAACCCATCAAAACATGCTACCTTAAAAAAAATGTTATGGCGCAAGTTGCGCCATGGGACTCCCTTCTGGGCGCCCCTGCTTGAATTATTCTACGTGTATTTTACATATATTAAATATGAAAATAAGGCTGACCTACAGAATAGTACATTGCAGTAATTTTCTAAATATAAGCGTATTATAAAATTTAACAAATGTAATAATTACCTAACGTTAATTTTTCCATCATTTTTAGTTTTTAAGTAATATTTTACGAATTATATTAATAACTATAATTAATTAATAACTAAATATTGAATTCCTTCTAGAAATTTACATAAACATTCGTATTTAAAAAATGCCTCTATTTAGGTATTACAAGATCGTCCATTATCAAGAAAAACCTATCCTTATTTATTTTGGTTTATGGAAAAATATTGCATTTCTCTTATCTCAATTTAAAATCATAATACTTTATTGGCCTATTTGTACTTTTTTCCACAAGCTCGTCATTACTTAAGTAATACCTTGCCCTACTTCGATTCTTACGATCTTTTTAAATTCTATATATCAACAGTTGATTACAGCTAGATAAACAAAATTAAATAGGGAGTGTTTTTTTCTTGAAAATAGATGATTTTGTCCCAAATGTTGAAAAATAGTTAAAAATAATAACTGAAACAAGCTGAATAGATAATATTTTAAAATAATTATACCAAAATTGATAAATTTCAATATTCGAATTCATGTGAACTTGGAATCAAAACAAAAAGTACAGTTTTTTTAGTGAACAACTACTGAAAGTATAAGGAAAACGAAGTTAGCTCATTTCACTTAAAAAAAGAAAAGAAAAAAATGTCCAACAAGTAATAATATAACGTAAGGTAATTCAAAGCCATCAACACAACTGAAAGTATTATTTTCTTATAAAAATTAAACTTAGGAAGTAAAACTGAAAATAAATTAATTAAAGATCATGAACTAAATAATGCATTAAACCTCATAACTTATAAGAAAAAAATATCCACAAATATAATACCATGATATTTACTTATAAATATTATAAAAATATGCTACATACTTCATACAGGGCTAGGAGTAATAACAGTGTTTACAACCACATCAAAAGCAATGAACTTGGTTATCAATTGCATTCAAAAATTAAATAAAAACTGCATAATATGACATGCTGAAAGGTAATGATGAAAGAAAATATTTTTAAATAACATGCATGAGTAAACAGTAAACAGAAGTAGAAAAGTGATAAAATGATAAAGTATGATAATGTACTTCATAACCTATCTGTCAACTAACTATGATTTTGTAGATAAAAAACAAACAATACCTCACAATTATCTATATTAAACGAAAACAAAATTCGTTGAAATAATGGAATTATGTCAATATTGTATAAATATTAACTGGTAAACAATATTAAATGTTAGAAGTGTGTTAACTTTGAAAGTGAAAGGTTATACTTACACGACCATTCCATATGCGCCTTCTCCGATGTATGCTAAATTTGTGTACCTCGGTCCAACTTCGAACGTCTGTCCCCTGACCACTTCAACATTACTAGTACCCGCACCGGACACTTCGGCCATTTCAACCAACAACCTCCCAAGGACCAGCTTGGACGACTGCTCTGTTTCCTCCAACCACCGCTAAGAGCGCGCCCACAATATTTACCTCCTGCCAACATGCTTCTTTGATATAATTAATCTCCCCCTTAAGTTAAAATCAAACAATTATTAGTAATAATAATCATAAACGAGGTTTTCATTGAATTCTGAAAACATCAGTAGTAGTTTACTTTTTAATGTATTTTATTAAGTATTTTAATTCCTTACCACTTAGAAATTTGTTTTATCATTTATTTTTCGCAGTTTATTTATATAGTTTTATTTATTATTACTTTTAATTTTTAATCTAGTTAAATAATCTAAAGCAGAAGTCTAGCTGTAGTTTTAATTGTCAACAAAATTGTTTACTTTGATTGGTTGGTAGGTTACGCCTTGTTATCTTGTTTTGTTTGGAGAGTTAACACCAGTCTTTTAAAATCTGTTAATTGTTGAACTTATATAAAAATGAATGCGCCTCCAACCTTCGAATCATTTCTACTCTACGAAGGGGAACAAAAGTTAGTATTTAATTTATTTATTCCATAAAGAGGTCATTGGTTATCTGATCAGCATGTAGAAGTATTATGTTCATTTTGTTGGAAATCAGTCTAATGAAATAAAAGTTATGAATACAATTTTTAAAAGTTTTTAAAATACATAGCAAGTCATTTATTATAATTTTGTTGTAATAAAAGAACAGACATAACTTATTCTGTCATTGTCTTTTATTTCACTTGACTGATCTCTGAGTTATTTGATTTGTTGGTTCAAACTGATCAACAATGTGAATTCATTTTTTATGTATAAGGACACCTTTCATGGTCACTGTTATTGAAGGCAGTTTATATATTACAAGATTTAATATAATTGTTACTATATACCCTCTAGATAATCAATATTGTCTGTGAAAGGGTTGCTTTATTATTCTTACTTAATTTTCAAGACTAACGCAACAAATTAATCTGATTGCTTTCATAATTTAAATACTCTGTAATATTAAATTTTTATAATCCAAATTCTCTAAAATTAACCTAGTTGGAATTCTTTAATCTTTATGACTGTGCTATTAACTAACCTACCTCAGTAAAAAATCTCAAATTAGATTGTTATCTTTCTCCATAATGTAATCATTATATTAAGTGACATCAACAAGACATGTTTATTCGTATTCACAATACAATACTATTGAGATAATCTATTCACACATTGTTGGTGAGATTTCATACTTTACCACGAATGTTAAAGTAACAATTTACTTAATAAATATATACCTTACCCCAATGGAAAATATCGTTCCCGTTTAATAGTTTAGCAATAAGACACAGCTATTCCTGAACTTTACTTATCCAAGCAGGGGTGCCTATCCTCCCAAGATCGATCGCTCAAGAACCTACCTTCCCTTCGCATGATATTTTATTGCTCATCTTTTCTCTATAAAAAACAGAGCAAGCGAAGGTAGAATTAGAAAAATCGTATATCATATACAATTACAATTAGAAAAATTGTATATCATATGCAATTACATTTTCTGCTGTCAGTTCTATGTTTTCCCCCTGTCCCTTATTATAGATATTTTCATTTTGAAACATCTATCTTTTCATCTATAACCCCACTGAAATGGGCCCCCTCAAAAATTTTGATGGCCCAACTTCATCAAACCCCCTTCTGGGCACCCCTGCATCCAAGGCTTATTTGTTTGGTATAGAAGAGACTTGGTATGTTATTTTCTCACTTGCTATACATATAGAAGCTAGACTGGAATATTTTTTTATTTATTAAGAATATCAAAAAATGTCTTCCTTATTATCTCAAATGCCGAAGGGACCATAGAGCTATTCTTCTCCATTTACTTTTTCAATAGATTTTTAGTTTGTCAAATATTATCAAAAATAGCAATATTTTGGCAACTATAGCACCTAAAAGGCTTTCGTCTAGAATCAGGAATAATCTCAAAACGATATTTCCTTTGAAACTATATCGGGTTTTAATGCTTGCATTAAAATTTTTAAAAAACAAAATTTGTCAACATTTGAAACCATCTGAATTTTCTTAAGGACTTTTATTGAAGTCTAAGGAATTTAAGAATCAAAATAGAATTTTTCACTTCTCCATGAAACTCCCTTTAATTTAATCAAAATCTATTGCTAATGAGAGCCGAAAATTGGATCTATACTGTATTATATATTGTATAGATTTTATATTAAATTTCTAAACATCATATATAACATTTTAGTCATCTTTTTTAATTATATTAAACCAAAATTAATTTAAAAAATTAGTCTGTATGTGTGCACTTCTTGGACTGCTTGTTAATTGTAAAGGTAAATGATTCATTTTAATCTGATTATTTGTTTAAGCTATAATCGATTTTTGACAAATTATTTAAATTTTTCAAATCCTCAATCAAGCCTTAAGAATATTGTATTAAAATCACTCTAAAAAATGTTTTGTAGCTTTTTACTTGGACAGTTGGTTATATCAGTTATCCTGTCTTTATTCTAGATAAAGGGTGGAGGGTTAATTTTTTTTTCTAATATATCTTCTTCACATTTTGAGGCAATAATCTCAGAATTCTTTCAAAAGAATTCCATTAAATGTGAGGATAAAAAATAAAAATTGATTGTCTAGATTAAAACTGTTAATACTTTTTTGTTATAGTAAAAACGTAGTAGCTATCTCGGTAGCTCTGGATAAAAGAATGTTTCAGATCATTTTTACAACTAGATCATGAAAATTGTAGGAAATTTGAAGTTTTAAACATTAAATCTGCCTCGAAGAAACAATAATAGATTGTTTTAGAAACTTTAGAAAATGTTAAATTTACCTTAAACATCCTAAAATTATACAGTTCTAGTATACAACCAGACCAAACAAAACTGTAAAATTGCTTAATCTTGATTTTCATTCAGTCGATTTACCTTTCTAATATATTCGATTTTTGACTTTCCAGAACTTGACACCAAGAACTTATTCTTGAAAATCTTAGTGTAGTTCATCACACTAAACTTATTCATATGCCCAAAGTTACCTCAAAATAGGTCAGTAATTTATAATTTACAAGGAAGATAGGTTCATGGAAATAAGTTACAGCAGATTTACAGAGTCTCCTTCAATAATCTCCTGAACAGCTTGATTGTTGTCATCTATAAAACCTGTCCTCAGTGTCAAACATGACTTTCATTTTTAACATTTTCTCGCTATCCTTAAATTTTCTGACCCTTAGATACATTTATTTCTCGGGTAATGTAGTTTCCCCATATTGTGCATTCAAATGATTGCAAATTAATCGAGGATTTAATGTTTTCATTGGTTAAAAACTATAGTGGTTTTGTAACTGATGAGCATACCTCCAGTTCAATCATGACTGTAAAGAAGGCAGAAATCTTTCATATCGGTGGCAAAAATGTGTAGAATACAATACAGCGAGTACTGTCGGATGGTATTAGTTAATTTTACTACCTTATATTACTTTCCATGTCAATATATATAGCTAACTGCAACAATATATATCTATATAACAACAGCTATATAGCTAAATAGAACAATATATAGCTTTCCCATAGACCATACTTTTTGACTTCTGCTTGGTAGCAGATTTTATTACTTTAATGATAATTGTAATCATTATTAACAATGATAGGCTTATTCATTTAATTTAAATAATTTGGAAATGAACAGATTGAGTTTACTAAGATATTTGTACAGACATTACTTATATAATTATAGTTTTAAGTTGATTTCAAATTACAAATTCAAAATCAATACAAGTGTGTTGCTAGATAATACGACAAACAAAAATTTGTTTGTTTTTAATGTTTTATTATTGATTTGCTTTCTTTTTTTATTCAGGATAATTGTAGAAACTGATACTAAAGTTCCAAATGCAGCAATTTTCACCATTAATAAAGAAGACCATACATTGGGCAATATGATTAGGAAGTAAGTTAGTTTTCAAAAATATGATATTGTTAAATCATTTTTTAATTTCTCATATTTTTATTGTTTTAACAACAGTCAGCTTCTGAAAGATCCACAAGTATTGTTTGCTGGTTATAAGCTCCCTCATCCCTTGGAGCACAAGTTTTTAATCAGAATTCAGACAATCAACACTACAACACCCCAGAAAGTCCTTGAAGATGCAATTAAAGATTTGATATCTGAATTATCGCTTTTTGAGGAAAGATTTAAAGTAAGTTGAATACATAAGTAGTAAGTATCCATAAGTATCTCTTCTGTATTATGTTAAGAAATTTGATTTCCCCTGTAAGGCTGTTATTCTTAGGAACCTCATTTTATTTTAGTCAATCTCTTCCTCTCCATTTCCGTAATAACAATAAAAGTTTATAACAAAAACATATGTGTCATCTTAAATCATCATTACATAATCACTTCTCATATTTCAAATTATGAGTTGTAATTTGAATTTTTCGCAGCTAAAATTAAAGTAACTCACTCTCACCTCTGTTGCTTTAATAAAAATTTAATATTCCCTCGGTTTATAATGTTTTGGGGAATTAATCTCTACATCACTTTTAGATTTAGGTTTTTACTTAAATATGCTACAATCAAATTAACAAATCAGGAGAGAATATAAGAAAAAGATACTAATCATGTACACAATAAGTTTTGCTTATATTAGAAAGGAACAAGAGAAAGTGCAGAACAGTTATTGTTCCACACAGTATTAAGTTGTACAGGATACAAAATCTTGAATGAAGTAGGTTTTAAATAAAAATCTGAATTTAAAAGATATATCTATATATAAAAGATATATATGCCAATCACCCCGAAAATTCTGGCAAACAAGTTATGAAAGAAAACAAACTTTATTTGCGAATAACTAAAAAATTACACACTGTTTCCTTGGTTGTGCCCATGATTATATAAAAGATTACTAAATTCCCTACAAAAGGAAAAAAAAATCAGACAATTTTTAGCAAAGATACAGCTTACTGAAATTTGTAAACATGTTGGTTCCAAACAAAAATGAAGATTTAAATTAATTTTTCTTTTCTTTGTGGATTATATTTATCGATAAAGTAACATTTGATTTCTTTATCTTTTGATACATTGCATTATTTTATTTTATTTGTAATTTGGCATTTGATAACAATATGCTGTGCGAAATTTTCGCACGGGCCTACTAGTAGTAAATAATTTCCTAAAAACTAAAGTAGTGTAATATCCTATTAATTTATTACATAAATAAATATAGAAATTTTAATTATAATAATTGAAGATTTCAAAGGAAAACGCTACAATCCTGTCAGGTTTTATGCAGGCTGAATATGCAAAAGAACAGTTGTGCCCCTTTTAATAACTGATTCTGAAAATAACTGCATAAGTAAATAAAAAGTTATGTTCAACTTTAAATTTTGTCTGATGTTAGTTTTTTGGCAATTCCTGTTTTGTTTTGTTTTGTTGTCTTCAATTATATGTAACAAATTAATTGAATAGTTTTACTCTTACTTTTGCAGTTTATTAATATTTATTAATTTATTTTTCCTAGGAGGCAATAAAAGAAAAGAAGGAAAGACTAGATTGAACTTTTATCTTGTCCAGCAATTTATTATTAAGTATGATCTTGTAAATAATAAAAATTGTTAACATTTTACAACAAATATATAAGTATTGTATAACTATTTAGTGATTTATTATTTTTTTTAATTAGAATAAATAAAGTTTTGTAAGAATTTTAAATATGTGTATTTGATTTTATTATGAAGAATTGCCCCAATTAACTTTGAAGAATCAATGTTCAGACATTAGCTTCATAATGATAATATTCATTTTTAAAATTGTTTATATGATTATCTTCAGAAGTTAGGTGCTGATTGGATTCAGAAAGATGCCTATTTGTGCAAATTTATTATATGTTACAATGAATTGTTGGTTTGTTTTTTCAGATTTCTGTCAAAATTCTGAGTTGTTTTTGGTAAATACTAACTAATTATTTTAATTAGCTAGCATGAATAGTTTATGTTAAATTCATGCCATTGTTATCCTCTGATAGGAGGGATATTAATTCATTGTCTTTACAGATGTAGCCACTTTTTCAAACTTTCTCTTAACATTTTCTAACAGAAAAGGTGCAATAAAAAATTGAACTTTTAACTTTTTTTTTAAGCTAAATATAATATGGACAGCAGACAGGTAAATGAATGAAAGAAGTATGTTAAAACAATATTTATTTTAAAACAACAGTAGTATCAGATCTCGTAGGTAAGTTTTAAAAAACATTCAAACAACAGATTTAAAGTTTTGACATCATATCCCATAAATTATAACAAAATTATTTACAATATATAAAATTATTTACACTAATTGGCACAAATAAATATTTATCGTATGACAAATTTGTTTATATACAGCGATGTATATACGATTATTTATTAATTTTTTATGCTAAAATTCACTTTGGCAAGAAGGCACTATCTAATACCTCAATATATATATTTTTTTGTTTTTAATACTGATAAATATGAATTATAAAACAAGTTGTCACTATCTTTCGAGACATAATTAATATTGCAATATTAATAAAAACAATCCTAAAAAGATTTTATAAATAAAATATTTAAAATGTCTCTGTGTCATCACATTCTTCAGTAGAGTGGCCAAAAACTGCAAAACAGAAAAAAAAAATTAATAATATTAAAAAAGCATATTGAGAGGCATACTGAAAAAACATATTTATTGTTTTATTCGTGTCTCTGTCTTTAATCTGATCTTAAACAAATTTAATATTTTTTACTTACTCTTACCTATATATGAAATAAATAGTAGAGGAAAGTATTGCGATCGTAAAAATATTTGAATCTCAGTTTTCAAGGGAAATACACATTTTGAGGTATCCTGGGTCCAAATAACCAAGTCCCGCAAAATGGTCTGTATGTGTGTGTTAACAGTTTAGTTCAAATACGAAAGTGAAATTCTATATTTAAGGTTTTTATATGTCAGAGATGTTACAATATCTTTTTCATCAAAATCGGCTAACCGGAAGTGGCACTTTATATCATGGACTTAAAACATTTTTACAATTTTCTCGAAAACGGCTTTAACGATTTGTATTAAATTCATTATATCAGTGTAAAATTAAGCAGTTTTAAATAAAATGTAGTTTTTATTCTGATTGATGTTCTGTAACAGGGCTTAAATGGCTAATTTTCAATATTAGCTTCCTCTAAAGAACCTTTAATTTTTTTATTTGAAACAATTGACCATTCCACATTAACCTCTAGTATCAAAAATAGTTAACTATAAAAGAATTTCATAATTAACTAAGGAGAAATAAGAGATCGAAACGGAGAATATTTGTAATTGAGGGACCAAAGGAATACGAGAGCACCCGAAAGATTAGAACATGCTTCAATATGTAAGATGAGCTTAATATAATACGAACACTGACAATATTATATAAATATACATATGCGGTTTCCATAAATGCAATTGTTGGTATTATTTAATATTTAATTGTATAGATTAGTGATATAAATATTCTTAAAAGCAATATGACTCATTTCAAGTACAAAACTGAATTCTCCCGTCATCTTTAAAGCATTATTAAACCTTTTTTAATCCATACTGATGGATTGAAATCTGATCAGTCAAGAGAGTCTTACTTTTTACCCACGAGTCCACTCACAAAATAAAACTTCACTAAATATCGTTTAGTAGTTTTATATAAACAGCAGAACTTCATGCAATAGCCTCAGACCTCCACTTCTCTGTCAATAACTCAAAATACAAACCCCTAAATAACCAGCTCCTCTAAACATCGAATTATACTGCAATATCCATCCAATTTGAGAATGCTCAAAATTAGGGGAAAAGAGTATACTTTATAAGGATTCCAAGCAACGTGGGAAAGGTCATCCATGAATTCACAGATATGGCACCAAAATAAGCACTCCCCCTTTAAATACCAGGGCACCACCATTCTAACCCCTCCAGAAATGACTTTTTCTCTTAAAAAGGAAATATTAGATAATTGGCAATCCATGTGGAATGAGAGACCACCAAACAAATAGGTTATTAAAGCCATCACCATCGCCAAGAGCAATGAAGACAGATTTCATGTAATCAGTGTCGGATCTACATCTATGGGAGCCGTGTAATATGAAATAGGTTAACAATTTTGAGGACAGATTTTTATGTCTTTTAAACATTTTATTTTTATGCTCAAAACTTTTAGTTTTTAGCTCTAAGACAGTATATTTTCCTAATTATTATTTTATTCCCCTCAAATTCATGATTTCAATTCAATAATGATCAGGTGCCACTATTTATACCAATCCCAATGAAAAGATTTTTAAACATTATTATAATATCATATCTTGGAGTGAATAGTGAAAAAACAATGTTTAAACATTGGCATTTTTGTTGAATTTAAATATCCAAAATTGTAATAATTACCCATTTACAAATTCTTTTTCCCCAAATACTAGGTTTTTACGAAAGTCCTTTTGCCTAAGTATAGCTTTGTTTCATATTTTAAACATTGTTGAATACTACTCTTCAAAGTTAAGCCAATTGTTCTCAACTATTTCCATCCATCTTTCTGCCAGTAATTGGATTTAATGCTGGTACAACTCCTTTGGTTTTGAGGAAAAGAACTTCACATCCAATTTTTATAAGCTTGTAATTACCAAAGATCTGACCTTTTAAAAAATGAGCCATTCGTCTAAACAAAGCATAATCTGATGTTGCAATGCCTGAGCTATACTTAATTAGAATTAAGGGTTGTGTTCATGCTCAAGGGCTTTAGTAACAACTTAGTATGTATACATGGGAAAATGCCTCAAAAACATTTATTAGTTTTTGTACTTATAAGCTTTTACAATGTAGCTGTTGATGTGTTAATCAATAAGAAAAAAGTTAGAATAAAACCACTGAGGCAGAAGATAATCTCTAAAATGATGGCTCCATAATTGGATTTAATGAAGAATAAAGGAAGATATGGAATACCCAAAAAACAAAAAAAAATCTGAGAAACAACATATAAAGTGTATAACAATTAAGTTATTTTTTTAAATTTATATATACAATCATAAAACTATAATTTATGTCTTTTATTATTTCTGAAAACAAAGTTTGTAAGTTAGTAAGACTATTTAATCGTACTAATCTTTATTTAGAAATAGGATGAAAATTAACTAGATGTTAAATTATCTTATGATTCCAGATGAAAGCAAATGGGTTTCATACCTTTTTATTCATTACTTAAAAAAAAAAAAAAAAAAATGGTCGATACGATGGACAAATGTTATAACTAATGAATTTAGCAACCAAATGTTAATTTTAACAACACATTATGTAAATGAAATACTGACCTTCGCAGATGGGGCAATACGGACGTTCAAAACCTCTAGTCCCAGGAATGTGATGCTGAACAGGCCTAACAGGTTCAGTTGATGCTTGCTGAGGGCAATCCTCAGTTTCATGAGCATCAAATATGTCACATATATCACAAAACATCCTAGGCGTTATTTCTTTCTTCTTTTTTACACCATTTCTATAGGATAATTATATTTAAAAAACAATATAAATTCTGAAGTAAATCATAATGAAATCACTGGATACTTACAATGTACTGGAAGATTCGGTTCTGAATTCTAGATCAGTAAGTCTTTCCTTCAAAAGGTCATTTTTTTTCTGTAAATCAACTATTATTGAATTCAAGAAATTTATTTGGGTATCTGCTAACTCCTTTTCCTCTAATAATGTAGTCATTGATTCTTCCCCAGACACAATTTTTTCAACTGATTTTGAATTTTTCAATTCAGTACTTAGTTGTTTAGATTTTTCTTCTTGGACTGCTTTTTCAGTTAAAGCAACATTTAGCTGAGCTTCTAGAAGTTTTAACTGGCTAGTATGGTCATTTTTCATGGTCTCCAATTCTTTTAGTGTATTTTTGTTTATTTCATTCAGTTTTGCTACTTCACCATTTAACTTTTCTACAGTTACTTTTAAACAACTTTCTGAAGCTTTTAACTTAGATGTTTCTTCCAATAAATTTGAATTTAAGTCTTCCATTTCTTTAATTTTCTTAACAACATTTTGCTCTTTTTCTTCATGTGACTTATTAACGGTTTCTAAAGTTTTCCTTAGTACCAAACACTGTTCTTGGAGCTCATCCGTATTTTTAGAACTCAATGAGCACTTTTCTTTGTACTCATTATTAGCTTTATCAAATGAGTCTTTTATCTTCAATAATTCATCTTGAAGACATTTTTCTTTTTCCAAAACTCGCTTTTCCATTTCTGCTTTCTCAGAAAGAACGACTTCTAATTCTTTTTTTTTGCACTCCAATTCATCTCGGAAACATAACTGATCATTTAACAATGTTTTTAAGTTTCCTATTTCTGTTTCCTATAATGAAAATTTAAAAAAATAAGATATTAAAATAATATATCTGAATTATAAACATAATTATTATTATATAAGTATATTATTATACATTATCAAAGAAAATGGCAATTTATTGTCAGAATACTTTAAAAATACTAATCCAACAAAATACGAATTATGGAACACTCATCAAATTTAATTAGTCTTCAGAATTATGAATAAATAAATAAATCAACAACTTTTGAATATTTCAAAACAGTAGAAATTGTTATAAAAGGTAATATAGGAAATAATCTCACCAGCTTTTTAATCTCATCCAAACATGATTCTTTTTCTTTAGTCAAGGAGTTTATATTTGAATTTAAATCTAAAGTTTCAGATTCTAATAGTCTTATTTTTTCGTTCTGCTCATTTTCACGTTGTTTACTCTCCAAATGTTCTTTTTGTAGTGCTAAAAATAAACAAACAAAAAAATTATGAATAATTTGAAAATCTCATTATATTTCAACGATTTAAACTCCTTAGAATCATTTTAAAAACAACTTAATAATTCATAGGCATAGTGAAAACAATTTAATGTAATAAACATGATAATATTTTATAATGTCAACTTCTGATCCGCAATACACCAAAACACAAATTTATTAATAGATAACTATAGAAGAATATTCTTCAAGATGTTTCAATATGTTAATAACACAAAAAATAAGATAAGTTATTTCAACTTAAGTTGTCTTATTGATTGTAGGTAATATTTTCTCTTGACAAAAAGAAGGAAAATATTGATACCTATATAAATCAACAAAATTAAAAGCTTTAAAAATCAACACAGAATTAAAAATTTGTTAGCAAACAGAGACCAGAAGCTAACATTCTTTTTTTTTTTTGTTCCGATATAGGAGGGTGCACCACGGCCTCAAAAAGGCCTATTGTGTGTCGTCCTAAACTCAGTTAAAACAGGCCAGATGCATTCGCGAACCTATTGATACTGATGGGATTAATCAGACATTCTTTATGAAACTAAATTAAGCCAAAAGCTAAATAAAATAATGAAATGTTTTCTTAAAAATCTCACTTAAAACCTATTTCTGAACCTTTTAACTTTTGTTTGAGTTAACAGTTTGAACTTCACAGGTACTTAAGAATAACAAATAGTGAAATTAAAGAAAGAACTCTTAGCAACAATCAATACTTATAAGAAGTTAAGATTTTCATAGATAGCAGAAGGTCAATTAAGGATTTTTAATTGCCAACAATAAGAAATTAAAATTTGTGAATAGACAAAAGATATACAGTTAATTGAAAGCCCGTGTGTCATCACTACCCCACAATTTAAAATGTATTGACACGATAAATCCAGAAATATAGGAATACCTAGCATAGTCATTCATAAACTTGTGGAGAGCAGCCTTCTTGAATAAATCACATCATGTGGTAAAAGAACCACCACCACAAATTATACCTTTTCTCTCTTTTACAGCCTTCATTGAAGATGAGGAGATAATATTACAACAGTTTTTGACTGAAAATGTTCCTTTTTATAAAGATATCTAAGGAACCAGTATCTGGAAATAATCACCAGTCTATTTATTTATATATAAAATAAATTGCAATGCCCGAAAACAAATTATGTGGAAAATTTATTCTCACATAAATAGAGCATAAAAAGATTTATTTCAAAATAATATTGTAGATGATAAGTTAAAAAAAAATATCCCTCATCAGTAACTTTTTACCCAGAAGTGGAGGAAATTTATCCCGGGCAGGATTTAAAGACATGATGTCAATATATTATCAATTTCTTTATCTATTTTCTTCCCAACATTCTAGTAATGGTATGAGGATCATGTTATATTACATCATTAATATTGAAAAATCTAAACTTTTTTTTTTATTAATGATTTTGTATTAGGAACTAAGTCAAATATTCTAAACAATTACCAAAAAATATTCTTGCATTAAGTATGAAATATTTGTACTAGTAAAATATAATAAATAGATAGAATACCTTGTAATTCAGCACTCAGCTCCATGATTTCTCGAATTTTTTTCTCAGCTTCTTCCGTTTTTTCTTTAATAGTTTTATCCTGATTTAACAAGTAGGCTTCTTTTTCCTCAAATAATTTTGCTTTATCTTGCAACATTTTTCTCATTTTTTCCATTTCTGTATTCAGTAATAATGTTGCCTCTGAGCTCCTACTCTTTAAAGTTTCATTTTGCCTAATCAGCTCTTCATTATTCTCTTCAAAACTAGTTAAATTATGCTCTAGTTCAGAAAGTTTAGAAATCAATGTTTTATTCTTCACTTCAAGGTTTTCTTTTTCCTGTAATAAGTTCATTGTATCATTTTCAACATTAAGGACTCTTTTCTGCAAATCTTCAATTTGAAAATTTTTGGTTGCTAATTCATTCTCAGTGACTTTCATCTTATTTTCCTTTTCTTCTAAACTTTTACTTAATGTTGTATTTTGAGTAACATAGTTATCAAGATCAACTTGCAATTGATCGATTGATTTCTTCAAATTATGACATTCATTGCGTAATGTTTCTTCACTTTTTTGAAATTCTTCGAGTTCTTTGCATTTTGAATTATAAACTTCTTCCATACTCTTATAATTTTTCACTGAATTTTCGAGACGTTCTTTTATCTCAAGAATAGCTTTCTCTTCTTCCCTCTTCATTGAATCCAACTTCATTTCCAATTCTTGTACTCTGTTTTCATGCAGACGTATCTCTTCAGCTGAGGAAATTTTTAACCTGCTTAATTCATTCTGTTTTTCTACAAGATCAGAATTTAAATTCACTAGCTGCTGTGAAGAATCAGTGGAAGTATTCATAAAATGTGCAACATCATTTTCCTGTAAAGTATAAAAAATAATAATAATAAAAAATATGTAAAAATCAAACAAAATACCAAAATCTGATTATAATACTAGGTACCAAAATGTTATATAAAATTAAAAAAGGATAAACATACTATGACTAGTGGGGAAAAAAAGTCCAGTAAATGGGCCTTGTGGTCATTTGTGCCAAACCCCTAGCGACTACCATGAGGTTGCCGCCATGTACTTGCCAGAGTGTTAATGTTAAAAACCATTTCCCAGGGCCACCGAGAAATAAATCTTAACTGATCCAGGTGGGAATCAAATCCAAAATGTTCTGAACCGGCCACTATTCGAGTAAAATATCTTCAAACATTTGTATATAATAAAGTTGTATTTTCCAGTTTAAAAAATTACAAACCTGATACAATTACTAATGTTAAATAAATTAATGCTATTTGTGATAAAAAATACATAGGTAAGCTATAAACACAGTACAATAGATTCACAACAGTCTACAATAATTAAATGCAACCCCAATCTACTTCTACTATTCGATATGCAGTAAAATATTTTCTACACCAAAATCTTGTTTTTAGTTTGATGTCCTTGGAATTATCTTGTTATTAAATACATTCAAGACTCTCACAACTTATGCAGATACAGTTATAAGAGGTAATAATGTTTAACAGTTTGCTTGAAAGCAATACTGCAATTAATACAACTGATTAACTACACAATAATTGCATTAAACTTGAAATATGTATATTAATTCAGGCTCCCATTCCAGCTAATTGATAAGAGTGAGGGAAAAGTAAATGACCATTTATTGAATTGCGATTAAAGCAGACAAGCTAACTGAATTGAATGAATGAATGAATTATCAGCCAATCACACTTTCATTTCAGTCATTAATCTAGTATATAAGTATTAAAATCCTGTACTTACAAGCTTTTGTTTCAAATTTTCAAGTTCAGCATATTGTTCAATAGCATTATTTAATTTCCTCCTTAAATCTCCAATTTCCAACTCTAATGTCTGTACCTGATGCCTAAATGAGTTTTCAGATTCCAAAGATTGGTTGTACTTTTGAGAAAGATCTGAAATAAAAAAATAGTATTGTTAGAATCCTAGACCACAAATGTTATTAGCTTCATACTATTACTCAAGTAAAAAATAAATAAAAATTATACCTGAATAGTCCTGTTCTAATTTTGCTATTTGGGAAATTTTTACATCCATTTCAGAAGCTTGTTTCTTAACAATTATTTCTAAATCAGAGCAATGCTTTTCTACATCAACTATACGTTCATTTTTAGCAACTAGTTCATTCTTCAGTTTATCATTCTGCTCTTTCAGTTCTGAAATATTTCCTTCTAGAGAATTTATCTGATCTTTCAAGACAGAAATTTCACTTTGTGTTCTGGATAAAAGATCATTTTGTTCATTACACAAACTGGTAATTTTGGAGTTAGCTTCTTCTAAAGTTCTTGTAAGCTCTTTAATTTCAACTGATAGCTCATTTTTAATTGTTTCAGCAGTTTCTTTTGATGTTACTAGTTCTATTTTCAAATGATCAACTTCTTTTTTAAGACAATTTATTTCTGTTTCTCTATCATTCAAACTGTTTTGATGGAATTCTAAATTCTTTTTTAAATCATTAAGTTCTTTTTGTATAGAAGAATTTTCTTTCTCATGAACATCAACTTTAATTTTTTCTTCAGAAAGTTCTTTTTCTTTATTAGATAACTTGTTAGAATATTCTTCTAATGCCTGTTTTAAATTCTGTATGTCATTATTATATTTTCTGTCAATGTCTGACAACTTATTGTTAGAAAAATCAGTGAATTCGCTAAGTTCTTTTTTTAATGATTCGTTATGTTCCTGTAGCATGCTATATCTTTTTTGGGAATTGGAAAGTTCATCTTTGAGCTGATTCACTTGTGTCAGTAAATTACTCATTTCAGCACACTTACTCTTCAACTTTTGTTCTCCTTCTCCAAGTAATTTATTATAAGTTTCAGCCTCTTGCAATTTAAACTCTACACTACTTAATTTACTCTGTAGGTCATCAATTATTGATTGTTGCTTTTGTACAGTCGATTTATACAAATCTTCTGATTTTTTTAAAGTTTCATTTTGGGTTTCTTTCTCAGATAGTGATGAAGTAATATTAGACAATTGCTCCTTCAAGATTGCAACTTCTCCACTAGCATCTGAATTTCCTTCAAACTTTTCTTGTAGTTCATTATAATTCTGCTCCATGCGATTAGCCCTGTCCATAGTATCAATCAACTCTTTTTTAAGATCATTTTCGTAATCAATTTTCGCCTTCTTTATTGCTTCCAATTCAGTTTTCAAAGAAGCTACCTGCTGCCTGGCACTATTAAGATCACATAATTCAGCAAGAAGACTTTCAACTTTGATCTGCTCTTCAGCAAGTAATTTCTCCATTTCCTTGATGCGAGTGACATTTTCAGCATGTACATCCTAAAACAAAATAAAATTAAAAGCACAAGAATGTAAACAACTTTTATAAACAGTATCTTCTTTCAAATAAGTAAATTAATACTAAATGGCATGTTACATTTTAGTGAATGGAGCATTACTCATTTATTTTAATTTTGTTTATTTTCTATTATTCAGTTAAAATTTAAGGATGCACAATGAGATACTTCAAAACAGATAATTTTAGGAGCACAGATAGCTTAAAATGTTACATCTAGCTCCCAATTACATGAAGCCTGGTGTAGCAGCAGAATACCCATAGCACAATAACTGGTCCCTTGAGACTAGATCAGTGTAAGATCTACATACCCCTACATTAATTTGGCATGTTACCTTCAGTAATTATAATTACATATATCTATAGGCTAATGTATCTACATAGGGAGGGCAAGCACTCGAAGGTTTCCTGTGTCATCCTTCAAGTATTTATCATGATCAATATCAAATAACTATCATACTAACTAACTAATCAACTCAACCCCCTACTCCTTTCTGATCCTATCATTAATCTAACAAATAAAAAGCATTATCTTTGAATAACTTCTTCAACCCTTTCATTAATTGGAATATTATAGAAATACCCAAATGTAGAATTTGGTATACTATACTGAATAAAATAAATAACTACTTTATATATATTTTAATACATGCAACTTAAAAGTTGTAGGAAATTAAATAATATCAGAACATATACCTCAATATCAGATTTATTGATGGATTCTTCTTCTGCTCGGAACTGAGCATCTTCTAATTGTACTGCTAGATCAGTTTTTTCATCTTCCAACTTTTTAATCTTTGCCTGTAACTCTTGACCTCTTTTTTCTGATTCCACTCGAAACTAATAAAAAAAATATATATAATTGAAACCATGGAATAACATTTAAAAAAATGTTTTTTGGTACATTTTTTCTAATCATACTTATTATTGAAATATAACTAATATTATATATAATTTTTAAATAAAATATATATTTAAACAATGAATATTTTTTTAAATAAGCAATATAAGTTTCTTTTCTTATTTAAAAATTAAATAATGAATATAAAAATGAAATAATAGCCAAATATTCATAATTCAGGGTTAGAGAATTTTAATACAAACCAGATCAAATTCTGCTTTAAGAAGGTTCAACTGTTTTTCTGCTTCTTCCGTTTGTTCTGCAGCCCTCACCATCCGAGATCTGTCCAATTCTCTGTCCTTCAATAACTTTTCGATTTGCTCTTGTTTGCTTTTCAATAATTCCTAAATTAAAAAAAAAAAGAAGTTAAAAGTCCTCAAAATAATGGATTACATTTCGTAAATATCATTTATAAATTTTAGTTGCATAAATAGGACATTGGTACTTTTTTTTTTTGGAGGGTAAAATCTAAAATTTTTCAATTAGTATAATTGAAACATAATGTCCCAATAATGTTTACAGTTGGAACAAACATTCATAATAATTTTGATGTATTCCCAGAACATTAATTTAAAAAATTACAGTGTATTTACATAATAGAGAAATATTTAAAAAAAAAATGGTATTTATGACATATATTTATATCGTTGTGGTATAAGACCGATGAGCAAAGCTAAGAAAAAATATATAAATTAGGTCCATAATAATAACTAAAGAAAAAACCCAATTGATTAGCAGATCTATAGAGTTTCATGAAGGAAAATAGGTAGAGACTTAAATACATTCAGGTTGATATAAGTATACAAGAACTATGGTCATTCAGACTTAATAAGCAATTACTTTGTTATCCACAATAATTACACTTAAATATAGCACATGAAAGTAACTGAGGTGCGTTATGTTTATTTTGAATATAACATTAGTCAAATTTAAAATTTTTATTCTATTAGTCAATAAGGTCATAACTACAGTACAACACCCATTGTCCAAACTAATGTTGTGTGGGATAGCTTGGAAAACAAAAATTTACAAAAGAAATAAAGGAAGATGAAAAATAAACAATCACGTTTCCACATAAGCCACATTTGTCCATTTATCCTAGTACATGGTGGAAAAAGTGACAATGCTTTTTCTAAGAACTAAGCAATAGTTTCTCTCAGTGAAGAAATGTTACAAAAATCATTGCAAAATTAGACGAAATTGGAATGATCCAATTATTAAACGAATAAAAAAACATTTTGAAGAAAAGAGTTTTGGAAAAATCTAAACAATCTGAACTATCATATTCATTCCATATCATCAAATTTTCACAATCCACACAAATAGCTTACTTTCTTAAAACGTTCTTCATTTTATCTTCTTATTTTTCCATAATTTATCGCTGAGAAGTCTTCCAGATAAGACGTCATGCACTACAATAAGAGGGATTTCACATGATCATAGTACAGTGACTGTAGTACAATTATTCCACAAATCATCATACTATGTGTTTATTTAACACTTCACATCATAAAATTTAATGATGTGATGTAATAAATGTTGAAAGATCTCTAAGGTGTCACCCTTAACACGTAATGGTATCACTAAGTTACAACCATTCTCAGAAAGGATATTAGCTTTCTTCTGAATCATTTGTTTTATTTAATCATTCTCCTAAAGAACGGAAAAGATAAGAAACATCACGACATGTTCTCCAGCATCCTTAAGATTTTGTAAACAAGCTGACTTGCTTTATTTTTTCTGGTGAGAACCCATATAAAATCATACTTCTTGCATTTCATTTATAAAGATATTTTCTTTTTTATTTTAGTTGATTCCAACACTTATAATTTTTATTTTAGAAAAGTAAATTTAAAATCATGACACACTTTTTTATTCATGATACACTTATCAGAATATACACAATGTCTTATTTGCTGCCATTTCAAAACCTTAATAACCAAATGAGAAACATTTACGATTAATTGATGTCAATTTATTTATTTAGTCTCCTGAATATCAATACCCTCCTGCAACATCTTCTAACCTGGCAAAATGCTATGTAAAAATTCTGTGATTCCAGTTGACTTCTTTCGATTTATTATTGCCACTTCCAAATGAATTTTATTAAAAAGGAAAGACCACTGATTGAGCCCTTTGGTTACCTTTACTGGATGAGATAGTTATCTATAAACTCTATCATATTTATACTGGTTTTAAATTTCTAAAAAAAAAAAATCTATAAAGACCACCACAACTACATTTTTCTTATAAGCTGTTGCTAATTGAAATTACAGGTAATCAGATAACTAATGTTTTTAAATTTATATTTTGTTTTTCTAATATAATACAAATCATGGTGTAGGTTTCATAAATTTAATAAAAACCCTGTTCCATAGCTATAATTTTTAGAGGTAACTTTTATATTTTCAATGTTAGGATGGATAATTTAATAAGTATTAGACTTCACTAATTAATAAAATTTAAAAAAATAAATTATGTAATCTTAGAATGGCAAAGACAATACATTTTGTTAAATAAAACGAATAAATTATATAGATCTAATAACATGATCAAATCAGATGGTACTTAATTCTTATTATACTTTTGACTTAATAAGTTTAAAACAAGCTTTTCCATCTGCAAATCTGCAGTATGCAATATAGGTATACCAAATTTCATTCAGAAACAATGTTTGTAAGAACATTTTCCATCATTTACAATATAATTTTTCCTTACAATGTTCTTCTTAAGATATGAGTTTCTGTTAATACTATAATGTATTTAACTGAAGCAGTAAATGATCAAATTTAAGAAGAATACGGGTTTCACAAATTTTTCATTAAAACCAAGAGACGAATAAGTGTTTAAAAATATATTTGTAAATTGATACATGGGATATTAATGGCACTAAATCATAAGTTGTTTTTATATTATGAGTATATAAGTTATATATCATAAGTTGTGTTTAACAATTAGAAGTAAATTTCTTTGTTCTAATTCTTGGTTTGACCTCCCCCAAATGTTCTTTTCTTCATCACTGTCAAATATATTAAACTTGCTTTCATCATCAAAAAGAACTTCTTTCCAAAATTCAATAAGCTTATATATATATTTTTGTTATTAAATGCAAGCCTTATCCATCTATAAAAATTAGATATGAATGCCTTCTTTTTTGGAATTCTCCCATGAAAGTCTTCTTAATAACGGATTCTTCTAATAGTTGAAACACCCACCTGCTTCTGAGATGTTGAAGTGATGTTTTCAAGTTGACAGCAGCTTGTAGATGAGTTCTTTTTAACTTGTAGGACGTCACGTTAGTCCCTTCCAGTCAAAACACTTGGTCTTTCAGAAAAAGATTTATTATGGGTATTATTTATCTCATCATATCTTTTTATAATATATCGCATTTTAGAGAAGCATAATTTAATATTTTTCCGATCTCGCGGTATGTTTTTCCCATATGAATATATAATAAACATAGCTCTGATTACTTTTTCACCACTTCCATTTCTTGAAGGCTTTAATGGCCAAGGACTTGAACCACAAGTGGTCAACATAACTATAGGTCTGCATGTTGCACACCACTGTACTATGAAAACAACTTAATTAAAGAGTGTAAATATCTTTAAATGACTAATACTTCTGAATAATGTGAAGGAACATATCTATTTGGATAGAAACAAACATTTAAATAGGAGCACCTATGGATTGATTGGATGGAAGTCTAACTGAGAACTGGTCTTACCAGAATCTTGTACAATTACACTTTTGTGTTATGAGAGATAGCCCTGATCTTGAAATGCTTCAGGAAATTCGGCAATGGATTTCTGTTTGCATGTCATTATCTGCGTTTACTTGTGAACCAAGATAGAACAACTCTTACACCATTCCAAATGAAAACCTTCCAACCATAAAATGTGATAACATCACTCCTGCTTTAACTTATTCAAGGCAAAAACCAACAAGAAACAAAATAGAGTCATTTTGAAGTAAATGGTCGTTCACACTTACCAAATTGTACATTGAACCAATTAACTTATGCAGCAAGAGTAAACACATAAAGATATTGCCATAAAAGACGTAAAGAAAAGAAAGAAGGGGATTGAAATGTTGAAACTGAGAAGAGTTCACATTGAACACAGAAACAAACTGTTATAACTCCGATGCAGTGATATGATAGCCAAGTGTTTTAGGACAAAATCTTACCAACCTCGAATTAGAAGTGGCACTAGTTCTAATCAGGCCAGGGCAGGTTAAAATTTATTTCACGGGGAACCCACATTTTCAACCTTCACACTCCATAGGTTAATTGTCTTTCCTGTGCTAACTGGTGTATATATGGACAAAGTTTGCAGCACTATAAGAATGAATACAACAGTCAATTAGAGAATTAAAGTTTAATATAAGTTCTTGAAGACTTATCTCCTTGATTTCAATGTTAGCTATAAGTTAAATTTTCATCCAATTCTATTAATTAATAATTTAAAAGTAATTAAGTATTATTTAATGTTTATTGAACATCATTTTATTAAAACAATTTATCTTGTCATAAAATCTATAGTTGAAGGTGTGTGACTTACCAATAACAGTCACTGATTAACTAGCTCATAAACCCACATTATATGTATCTATAACTAATAAATTTTAATTTCTCATAGTTAATTTTTACTTATTAATCTGGCCCAGAATAGAGACGTGTGTATCAAGCTCTATAGACAAAAGCCTCACACTGGTTAGCGGTAGACATGGATGGATTAAGTAAATAAGTAATTTTTAGTTAGACAACATTAAAGGGGTAAAAGTCTGAGTGGTATGTGTTACATTTTTGGTTTAGGTCCAAAAATATAATCTATAAGAACTTAACTACTGAAAAAAAAAAATGAAGTAGCAATCTCCAAAAATATCTTATTGACCTGCAATATAGTGTGAGTGATTTTCAGATGCTAAAAAATAAAGTAAAAGCAAAATTTGAAGAATTGTACAACAGATTAGCATTTGATCAAAACTCATATCATATTTTTTTCCAGCTTATCTTCCTTGCCTTTTAGGCTATACAGGGGTTTCCTGGGCCAGGGGGTAAGGACAGGAGATTAATGTCATAATTAAAAGAACTCCTCGGCACCGAGACATGAACCCGTTATTATTTTAATCTAATTATCTCATATATCAGGCTGCCAGACAACGTGTAGTGCACCCGCGTTAGCCCATTAGCGGCCACCTCGCCCGAGTAGTAGATTACTTGACTTATACCACTCTGAATTTAACGCCCCTAAATTAATTTGTATTTTTGGAACTACTTCACTAGCAGGCCGGGTCTTATCTATGTTATTTAACGTCACGTCACATAACCTCCCTCTTCTTATCCCGCTAAACCTTTCAGTTATTACATTGTTTATTTTTCAGTTATTCCCTTATTACGTTCACTTATTAAATTCTTTATTTTTGGCCCGTTTGAGTTTATTTTTCATTTTTTTCAGTTTATTTTCGTCTAATTATGAATCTTGTTACATTCTGGGATTTACCGTCTTCAGAAGAACAGGCTATTGAATATTTTCAAAACGTAAAACACCCGTCAACTGAACTAAGCAAACTATGACCATTTCCAAGTGAATCACCGGTATAATTTTGTCAATCCATCAATTGGGGTTCATACTCAACACAGAATGATTATGGGGCTCAGCTAAGTGGAGAAATAAAATACATAGAGGAACTGCCAGACAACATCTCTATTCATATTTATGCAAATTTTTGTGGTGGCAGGTTCACAAAGAAGAGGACCTGTTCCTCACTATTTTAAATAGCATAAAACTATTTTGCCTATCAAAATAAACAAGACGAAGTGAAAATAAATTATACATATGTCGTTTATAGTGCTGATATTTTTTCTTTTATATGTACATATGTTCTTTAAGTGTTATTTTATTATTTCATTTTGATCTTTTATATGTACATATCTTCTTTAAGTATTTTTTTATTATTTCATTAATATATGTGTCGTAAAATAAAAGTGTTTTTTTGTTATTACATTTGTTTTTGTTTCTGTTTACACTTTCAATAATATGAATATAATACAATAATACGAAGATAGGAATTACCAGAAGGCTTATCACTGCCTTATCGGAGTTATCAGTGTTCAGATTATAAACATTGGCAGATAGCAGTCAGTCCCGGCCTGCTAGTGAAGAAGTACTGTATTTTTTTCCAGCTGCTTCACTCAAAGATTAGTTTAAACATCATCCCATACTTGTTCACTTTGCAGTACGTTCATACAGAGAACAGAAGCATTGGTATGTAAAAGGGAAGCAGAACATTGGAGTTATATTATTATATCTGCTAACTGCCTATTCCTTGGGTACCACTGAAGACCTATTGATTTTGCAATTAAGTGCATTTATTGAAACCCTCGTAATGTGACAACTTGATAATCCGACATACTTCTAAGCTTAAGTATATATATCTGTGTATAAAATACTATGTTCATTTTTACCTTTAAAAAACACAGTAGAACAATATAGAAATATAAAATAAAAAATATTACCTTATAATATTTAACAAACTATCTTAAATAATTATGAGGTAAAACAAATAGAATTTATAGGAAACTGAATATTAGTTTTTGATAAATAAACATTTACATGATTTTTTTTGCTCAAACAGTACAAATTAAATTATTTGACATACAAGAAATAAACCATAGGATGACAGAACATTAAAAAAAATTTAGCTTGAAAAAATAATTTGATTCAAGGCATGCAAGTGATACAATTTTTACATAAATTTAATATATTTTAAAATAAAATTAATAAAAATTGTGGGGTAAAGGATCAATATTTGTCTATTATTCATTGATAAATATAAGACAACAAAAGGCTTACATATTTAAACCGAAAATTTAAAATTAATACAAACATAACAATATACAATTTATTTTTACAGGAAACGATTAGTGACATATAATCATTAATACTAAGTAGTTTTATTTAATAAAGCATCACATTTTCAGAATCTTGTGATTAACAAGAGATCAGCAATGTAGAAAATTAGGTTTTCCTCCTTGTTTTAAAAATATAACATTATAAACAGGTTCACAAGGCAAGTTGTTTATTTTTTTAGAAGCAGAGAAGCTTGTTTAAAAGAAATTTGAATCCCAGTGAGGATAGTAGATTACGTGTGACTGAAAAAATGATAAATTTTTTAAAACATTAGACAAAATAATTGTAAATAACTGTTTAAGATTAGTATTATTATTATAACTTACCGTTACGGGTTTAGTATTTGTGGATCTTCTATAGCCGATTCAGAACGGATTAATGTTTGTTAATACACTTTTTATAATTTTTAATAAACTTTTCACCTCTGGAAAGGTCCAAATTCAACACAGAGCATGATGAAATGTTAAACAAAAATTAATTATAAATTAGTCATCGGAAGTTTATAAAGAAAGTTCTAGTGTAAATTAGTATAACAAAACACCATCACCAGACTATAAACGTATTAACTGTAAGACAAATTTGATATTTAGAGATAGTATCAAGTACTAACTATGACTGTAATATAGAAATTTAATTCCGTAGTTTGGTAATAATAAGATATATAAATAAATCCAACCAAAAACATTTTATGGAAGTTACCTAACAATATTCAAATTAGTTATAAACACATATATAAATCCATCAAACTGAATCACACATCTGCATATGGCATGGTATGTGGCATAATGTTTCTATTACTTTTCAAAAGTTTAAGAAATAAATAAACAGGTAACCAATTTATATTTATATCAGAAACTTACAACATCCTGGCTTCTTGTGTACCTCAATATTCAACTATTTGTTGCAATGATAATATTCCATTACGAAATTTCATTAATTTTGACAAGTGCTTCAGAAAAATGTGCATTAAAATTTCACTCAGAAAGTCTATACCATCACAAATACAAATTAATATACACTCAAAAGTTGGTAAGTTTGTCAAATAATAACAAATCAGGAGCATGTAGTGCTAGAAGGTATCGTAAGACAGGCAAATAACTAATCACAGATCAATAGATCCATGCTGCATTATCACTCCCTGCATTCTCTTCTCTTATTCTGCTAGGTTCTATTAAAACAGGTATAAAAACATTTTTGGGGACACCAGATTGCCAAGTCATGCTTCAACTACTGTGATGCATATCATTTAGTTATTTATTTATTCAGTAAAAAATAATGCTTACCGTTAAAAATCAACAATGAAATTAAAATTAAGAAAAATTAAATTATTAAATAAAATAAAAAATAAAAAAAAAAAACTCCACTTGATTTTATTGGGGAGGGAGGATGAGCAAATTGGTTGCTTCTTAATTTAAAATAACTATGCGAAATAAATAGCTGCTTAACACATATTTACATAGACTGGCTGTTGATCAAAACAGGTGGACGGGAGGACGAACGAGCTAATGGGTGAATAAAATGCTCGTTGCCCAGCAACCACAATATGAACTGAATATTATGAGTTCAAATCCCAGCGCCAGAGAGACTTTAGAAGTTTGGCCTAATTCCCCAGCCCTCTCCTGGCCCGGGAAAAATCCCATAAAAAGTGAGGAAAAGGAGAAAAAGAAAAAAAAATGTTGATCGAAACGTAGCTGTTAACCATCCAGAAAAACAAGCATTAACCAATAAAAAAGAAAAATCACATTAATAAAAAAGTATAAGTTTCAACTGTTACTGTGCTGCCAAACCTACAATATTAATTTAGCAACTTTTGTAATGAACTGAAAAAAATTCAGTCTCTTTAAAAATAGTAACATGTAACAGCTTTTAAAACATTTATGAACCCGAAATTTATTAAAACTATCTACAAGCTACATTGATAGTCTTAGGTAGAAAAGCTGGGATACCCAGAAGGGAATTGGGTAGCATGGCACAAGTTGCACCATGAAAATTTGAATAGGATTTTAATTTTTGTAAGGAACCATTATGCTTTGAAATTTTAATCAGATTTTAACTATAAAGTCATAGAAATAACTCAATGGAATTTACATAATTAAGAGACAATGAAATTGGCAAAATTTGAAAATGAAAATTAAACAAAAAAAAAAAAAAAAAAAAAGAAGAGTCTGAACATAATTCCTAAGTAACTTCTTAAATTTAGAATTTTTTTGAAATCTAAATGTTTATATAACTTTGAGATTAAACGTTTTTATGGTGCAAGTTTATCAGTTCTGCCCACAACTGTATATTTGTTTGCAAGTTAAAAATTAATTAATTTCAACTACCTAAATAAAAAAAAAATTAACATAATAATTTACCTTAATAATTATTTATATCACAATGACCAATAATCTCTTTAAAAAAATATATTGATAACTCAAAAACTCCAAAAAAACAACAAGTTTATATGGAGGTAAGTTGGGTACCCCTATGGATGTTCTTCCTCTGGACTTCTGCTATACATTTTTTTTTTTGGGATACTCTATGTAATTAGACAAATATGGATGTTGTTCTAATAATTTTTTCGCAGTAATTAAATAATTTTAAATAAGAAGCTGTTTATTAAAAAAAAAAGTACCATATATGATAGTCACCCTTGTAATTAGAATGTTATTCATTGTTTTATACCTAAGACCAAAAAATAGTGTTAAGCAAGTAGTAAAAACATTCGATTAGTTATTATAATAAAAAAAACTATATACAAGTACCATTATGAATAAAATTCAACTTAAAAGATATGATTTAAAATACTATTGCATTGCATTAAAATGCTCAAAAGTTAATAAAAAATCAATATAACAATTAATGAACACTAAAATAATATATTCAGAATTAGAAGAAAATTGTCTAAATTAGTAATGTTTGTAAGAAAATATGTCTGATATTGCAATTTCAGTTTTAAGTCAAATATTTCAGATAAGTTAATGTTACCTGAGGAGTAGCTTTAGGTGTGCCAGGGGCCAATGTTGAAGCACGAGGCAGAGGTTTCTAAAAACAAATTAAAATAAAAAGTGTATAATTTCCAACAATTTAGATAGAGATTTAAAGTGACATTCAGAAAAGCATTAATTGATTGAAAATTATGCCGATCAACTCAATTAAACTTATTGAGTTGTGATGATTAGCACCTTTATGCAAAATTAAATTAATATGACAAAGTAGAAAAATTCTTATAGTTACTTTATCACGAATTCTAACTTAAAGAGAGAAACAGAAAAGAAAGGTAGAAAGTGTAGTTGGATTAAATGAATTCCAACAAACAATATATATTTATAAAGCTCTAAACATTTTTCATTTTGTCTCAAATTCCAGTCATACTATTTACTATATAATGTTATACTATATACATATGTACATGTATACAATGTAAGGTTAGTCAGAAAATAACCAATAACCAAAAACTTGCATAGATTACATTGAATATACATAACCTCCATTAAAAGAAAAAAAAAATTCATTCAAAATCAAAAATTAAGCTATGTGTAAGATATGTTAATTTCTCCTCACAGATCCTTTATAATCATTAATATATTTGATCAAAAATTAGTTTATAAATTATTAAATATTATTTTGTTTATTTATTTATTTTTAAATTATATATTTCATTGAACTTATTTACTGTAACTGTTAATATCATGCTACATAAGATAATAACAGCAATATCAAACCAATGCTACATTGATCTCAAATCATTAAAATTACTCCAACATTTCACAAAACTACGCTATAAAATAACAATAGTAGGGGGAAAAACTTGGTAGCTATTTAATGTAATTAGGCACATTAATATAAATACAACACTTCAACAACAAATTAATCATGCCATACAAACATTTACTATGAAAAAATACTTGTATGCTCATAACATTTATATAGCCAAAAATATGCTTAAAATTAGTGGTTTTAAACTTTTTAGGTGATATGTATTCCCTTGACAGAAAAATAACGTGAACCTTATTGATTAAAAAAATATTTGTATGTACTCTCTTAAATTACTTAGTTCAAAGAAGAGTACACTTGGGCCACTAAGTTAAAAAATGAAGTCTATCTGGTAATGATCCAACACTGAACCAGAGACAGTAATGACTATCCCCACTGTGAAATAATGCAGAAACTGTTTCAACAAAAGAAAAAAAAAAAAGCTATTACATAAAAAGCAATTAATAGAAAAAACGCTATAAAATTGTAAATAAAGACAGAAAACCTTGATATTTTATGTCAATATTTTTCAACACACACCCCTGTCTTAAGGACCTTAAGAGAACAAATGATAACTAAGATCAGAGCTGCGCACAACCTGCTTATCTGTAAATATGATAAATCATAATGAAATATAGAAGTACTACATAAGGATCCAGGCTGGACTATCTTATTCTCTCCTATAATAATGAGAGATAAAGAGATAGGCTATTTTTTACCAGATATAGCAGATTGAAGTAGGTCAACTGATGAAAATAACTAAGCATGGTATTCAAAAACTGTTCCCAATCTACCAGAAAAAAATGACTGCCAAGTAAGGTCGGTATAGCTTCCTCACAGTTTTCATATGATAAAAATATCTATATTACAAAATCTAAATATTTTTGTATGAAAATAAAATCTCTGGGAGAAGCCGTTTTCGGAAATTCAGTAATCTCTCAACATATACAGGTTTGATGTCAACAAGTTTTGTTCATCAGTGAATACAAAAATGCGAAAGAGTTCCGCATTTGCGGATTGCATATTTGATGATCCAGGATTAAAAAAAAAAAATCGAGTACATACTGAACATTAATATCACTACTGTTAGTGCAATAGGTCATATGTAAAAATTGAGTGTTTTACAGCAGATGATAAAAACTAATTGTTTCTTTATGATTTATTAATATAATTTCATATTTTATTGCCCTCTGCTATTTTCAATCATATTTTGTTAGTTGCACGCTACAAAATAGAATAAAAGCTGAAAATTTTTACATACGACCTTTTGCACTAACAGTAGTGATAAACACTTAATATGTATGTTTTCATTCATAAATTGGATGGAACAAAAAATTTATATGAAAAATTCAACTTTTTGTTTGTTCAGAGTAAACGAGATCAATACTTTTCTTCAGTGAGAACAAAACTAATAATGCTGGAATATAAAAATATGTGTGAGGTTCACACAACTTTGATATTTAAGAAGGAAATTGAGACCACAACGAGCTGGTTGAACTTAAATAGAAATAAACACAATCATAAATGAGACTTTTTCTTTTTTTTTTTTACAAACTCATGGTAAAAATTAATTTAGATTTATTATAAATTACACGAAATCTAAGTAACGGTAGTAAGAGTCATGCCAGTAACGTTTAGAATCGACCTAATAATACATTCTAAATTAACTTTTCAATAAAATCTAAAATGTTATAACCCCATAAAATATTATCTGAACCTAACTCCCATTCCATATATATAATTGATGCCTTCCACATTTCACAGCCATTATATTGTTACTAATTATTTATATTAATTTTAATTATTAAATAGCATTTAAAGATTTTGATACTAGGTGATTTCTATACTATTCTCCAAATTTCATCCAAGTTTGGGTCAAAAAGAACACGCAGTTTTCAATCTATTGGCGTATCATATAATAAATTTCCTCATCTGAAAGTGGAAGTATTTTTTTTTTTTAGTGAATAGAATTTGATAAAATTCATACATGATTGATCATATATATGAATCCCTAACATCCCTAAAAATTTGAGCCAAATCGAAAGTGCGAAACATGTTTGTGCATATATAAGAGAAAATAGACGACAGAATTAAATCAAATTGACACTACATTATTTTTGGCAATACCTACCTTTTATCCAACTTTTAGCCATTTCTGAAATATTGGCATATCTAAAAAAATCCCAATATCATGCATAACTCAAAAGTCCTTGATGGAATTTGATACAATTGATATGGGACCATCTAGGTACCAACCCGTGCAATACCTGAAAATTTCTTGAAAATCGGATGAACGTTATAAGGTGACATGCCCATCAAATTGATTTGACTACAGACAGACAGACACCGAACCAAATTTGATCCTTGATGTCTGAAACGTAAAACGCGCATGGAAATTTCGATTCTGAGTAAAAAAAATTTTTTAACCACTCGCACGCATACAATACTTTTATACCTACGGCAGCGAGGAAGCAAAATAAAGAGTAAAGTTGCTGTGGGAAGATGAAATATCATGTGTTACAAGCTAAGTACACCTTTTTTTGAGTATATAAAATATCATATTACAAGAAGATGACATTTAGCAAAAGATTATCATCAAAGAAGTCTCAACTCCATCCAATTTAAGTTGTTGAGCCTGCATAATGGTGATGACAATGCGGCTAAATAGTAGTTTCCAAACAAAATTTAGAAAACTCTTAGAACTACTGAAAGAAATTGTTCTCACCTATAGTTAAAAACCATAACTTTAAACTCAGCTAAAACATTTATATGTTTAAAAAAGCCATGCTATTATAAATAAAAATGTGCCAAAATATAAATATTATATAATTTGTAAATATGATCAAACACTGAAACCAATATATTTTTAAAATCAGATAATAACTTTCACAGGAATTTTATTTTTAAAAAACCATCAAACTTTAATAAAGTCACTGATATTTCTATAAACATATCCTATTAAAATTGATTTTAAAATTAACTAACATTAAAAAATTGCAGAATAACAACTGCAAGTAAAGTTGTATTGATTAGGAATTTCTTAATAATCCTGGCTATTCATTCATGACATATATATATATATATATATATATATATATATATATATATATATATATACACATATAAGTAATATATTTCCAGATTAATTCTAAAGTCAAAGTTGACCAGCATATAGATAGCCGATGTATTTATATATATAAATACATCGTCTGTCTATGCGCTGGTCAACTTTGACTTTAGATTTAATCTGGAAATATATTAATTTATTCCATTACTTTATTTACAATATTTAGTGGATATAATTACCTTACAATTGCTCAATCTTATTTAAAGTTTTTTATACTAAACATAATTGCAGCCTTTTTCCATTGTGACAAAAAAAAAAAAAAAAAGAACAATGAATCAAAAATGGTATTTAATCAGAAGAATATCTTACAGAAATGTCAAGTGATCAATATTAAATATAATAAATATTCAAACTAAAAAAGCAATAATTAGAGCATTTTACAAATTATATTTGAAATTAAAATACTACTTACGGCTATGGGAACCATAACACTTGTTGCATAAAATTAAAAAATAATGAAAAATCCTTACTGTTTTAAAATGTATATAACCATCCTATTTTTAATGACTTTTTCCTGTTTTAAATCTACAATTTAATAGTGAACAATTATAAAATCAAATATTGGTTAAAACAGAAAACGAAAAAGATTATCTGAATGTTCTTAAAATAATTGAGATGAAAACATAAATTAGATATTTAATTACTAAATGTAATTATTAAAAAACAAAACTATTACAATATGAAAATAATTTACCACAACCCATAAATTAAAATAGAATAAAAAATAATAATTTGATTGCTAAACAATCAATGGTAGATATCTCATCATGTCAGAGAACAAGGGCAGAAACCAGTTAGTGTCAAGATACATGCTTATAATTTTTGAAAAATTAAAAATACCAGATTGGTAAATATGTAACCAGAATTTGTCCATAGATGGATGGCTCTGATCATTAAAGTAGTCACCCTTAAGCCGCTTTATTTGTGGCATTTTGTTTCTTCGACAGCTGGCAAAGATTTTCAATGAACAATTATTATTGTTTATAACAATCATATTTTATATAAATTGTTATGAATTATAACAATTTAAGTTTCACATAATAGCATCATTTTAATAGCATTGAACATGTCAAGTAATGTGCCTAAAAACTACAATTTGCGGACAGCATTAATTTTCTTTCATCATTTAAAGAAACCTGCTGCAGAATCTCATCAAATGCTTATCAAAGTTAATGTTGAGCATGCTCTAGGTAAACAACAGTGCATTGAGAGGTTTAAAAAAATCCAAAAGTGGTAATATTTAGGTGATAAATGAAGAATGTGGAAAATGGGCGTGATCAGCTCAAAATACTGTTACAAACTGGTGGAAACTTCAATACTGAACACTATCGACAACAAATGATAAATTTGAATCAAGTATCGCATGAAAAACAACCATAATATCAAAAATATACAACACAAAATGATTTTACTTCATGATAATGTATCATTACATACAGCTAAACCAGTGAAGAAAAAATTTGAGATGTTCAGATGGGGCATGCACTTGCTCATCAGTGCTTCACTTCTTATGAAAATGAACAAAATGGCTTTAAGACTGGTTTTACACAAAAGAACAACAGTTAAGGTGGTAGGGCATTGATGAATTACCAAAGAGAAAGAAAAAATTTATAGCTAGTGAAGGAAAATATTTAAAAAAAAAAATATCTTTTAACATTTGTATGCAATAAGTGTGTATTTTATACAGGAACATTCCGGTTTTATTGTTGCACACCTGGTAAGTCAAACATATAACTTTTTATTTAAGAACAACCTTCAGTGAAGATTAAGTTTAAGCATTTGGCTATTTATTACTTCGTAATGTGATGAATAGATTAAAAAAAAGTTTATATTAAAGTTTTTTACTTTTAATATTTAAAAAATTAGAATGAGTTAAAAATCATTCCATCGTTTAGGTTTTATTTTAAAAATGTTAAATACAATATATAACCAAATAAATGCTTTTAAAAGACTTTAAAATAAAGAGATTTAAATTTAAAATTAAGATTAAATTTCACTAAGATTATCCAAGTGGTCAACGTATCAGTACAGAAAACCTACTATTTCAAATGTCCAATGCTACTTGTTGAAGGGGTCAATAATAAAATTTGTTTTTTTTTTAAGAAAAAAAGCCTCAATAAAATTAAATATAATATATTCTGGATTCAGTCAAAGAAAGCAAAAGAAAAAAGAGCATTTGATGCATATCTAATGACATATATCAAGCATGGATCAATAAAAGTTGGATAGTCCATTTCATGTTGGTACTTGTGTGAGAATAAATTACTACTCAAATAATAAATCAGGAGCATGTTCAAGAAAATTAAAATAGTGAAAAAAATTGAGGAATAACTTACAGCTGTCATACAACTCTTAAGTAACACTGAGGCGGTCAATTCAGTAAACATTTCCATTTCAAAGGAAAGTTGTAGACTTAATTATTGTAATATTCTAATTAGGAAAAATATTAATGCAAGTTATTTATAATTACACAATTAGATGTTAAATAACTAAATCATGCTCATGCATACCTTTAATGAGTTGACCCCAAGCCTTACCCTGGAGGCTGTGCTGGTGACAGTGCTTGCTTTCGATGTCATGGAAGAAAGACTTTCCCTCGAAGAAGTTCTTTTAACACTAGCATGATGCAATTGACAAGAAGGACGACGATCTGGTGCTGGGGATCTGGACACCTTGGCAGCTGGAGCAAATAAACCATACTTTGGCTGGCATTGAAAATATCTGCAAAAAAATATCTTAATTATTTATTTATCCTCACATTTGATATGACACTTCTTTCACTCTTACTATAAGCATAAAATACTTCTTAATATTATATAGCATAAATATTAATTTCATGGCGTTATTATGAAAGGAAAAGAGCTAGAAATATATGTAAATACATTTCAGTGTGTATACAATATGCTCTGTCAATTAATAGATAGATGGATTTTAGTGGATACAACCAATTTTTTTGTATTATGAACAATTTTCTTTGCAACAGATTCCAAAAAAAAACTTGATTCACACAATATTTCAACTTGAGCTCTACCATAGTTTGGTAGTCAGATATAGATAGGGATATTCCAAGCACGGTTAGATTTGAACAGAATAATAGAAAATATGTAACATACCCATATTAACTTCTGTTGTTTATATTTCTATTAAGAATTTGTAGACAAATGTAAATTAGAATTTTTTCAGTCTGGCAATACAAACAATGGCATGAGCAATACAGACAAATATGAACCTTCAGTCATGGTCCACCCTTTATATGAGTCTTTCAGTGGACAGAATGACTAACTCCAATTTTAAACTTTTTGAGTAGTCATTTTAGAGATATTGCTAGTTGGAAAATTTATAATATCTGTACAAATAGTGAGTACCTCGATTCCAGAGTACGTAACTGTGTGTTGAAATATAGAACAGTGAACAAAACTATAAATTTTCACACTAGAAATATTACTAAAATTAATAATCAAAAATGTTGAAATCGGAGTTAGTCATTCTATCAACTGAAATGCTCATATGTGTATTTATAATTAGCAACTATATAATGAAAAATGAATTATATAAAAACCTGATTCCTTCGACTGAACCATCATTCTTCCCAAGAGGGTCATCTAGTTCAACTCCACACCATTCTCCAGGGGCAAATCCAGTTGTTCCTCGATATCTTAAAATCCCAATTTTCGAACCCTGAGTGCTCATGACAATTACACGATCCCCCACCTTGGCCTCACTGCTATAGTTAGTAGCTACATAAAACATCAAGTTAATAGTAAATAAAATATGCATTAAATTATGGAAAATAAAATAAATAATAATTTTACACTATCAAGACAATATTTTTATTTTATTATGAAGTACAGATATAATAAATTTAAAAATTCGGCATTCAACCAATAACATAATTTTTTTTTTTTTTTATTAACGAAATTTACAACTGTAATTAATAATAAATACAACAAGTAAATATGAACAAGTAATATGACAACATGAGGAGAAACTACCCATTGGTAGCACTCCAATAACATAAATTTAATTTAACCAATGTTTTAAGAAAGCTTTTTGTTCTTTTAAAAGAATATTTTTATTCTAGGATATTCAATCCCTAAGAATAACAAAAATGTAAATTTTGAAAAATATTCATTTGGTTGTATTGACTACAACTTAATTGAACTGTATACTAAAAGATAAATTTATGAATAAAAAAAAAAATATATATATATATGATTTAGAAGATATTGGATATATTTATCCAACATCCATAAATATATATATATATATATATATATATATTATTTTGGATATATCCTAGTCTCCAAAGATAATACCTCCTTGGCATCTTTCTGATCCAAACCTTGAGAACTAAAAAATATTCTATATCCTTGACCTCATCACCTTGACCCTCATCACCATCTTTCATCCACTTCTTAAATATGAGATCTAAAACTTGTAATTTTTTAACCCTACCCATAGAACAGTTTCCTTTGAAAAATGCTTTTATAATTAACACCTATTTCTACTTTCTATATCTCTTCAAATATCTATTCTCTGTATATATGTAAGCAATAACTGTCCATGTAAGTTAGTGTAAATATATATTAACATGGTGATTATAAAGGAAGCTGTTCTATAAGAAGGAATATATAAATTGGAAGGTCAAGAATATAGAATAAGTTTTTAGTTCTTAAAGGAAGAAAGAAGGTATTGTCTTCAGAGACTAGGATATATCCAGCCTTGCTCAGAATACCATTGAGAGATATAAGGGTATCTGTGAACACCAAAGACAAATCTCATGAAACAATTCATTAATCACTTCAGTCTCATCTCAGATAATCCTCCATGCACTAGGAATTCATAGTCAAAGTCAGGTACTTCGATGAAGTTAATTACGGAATCTTATGACCAGTTCAAGGATTTAGATAAAGTCAGAGGCTAGGGAAGGAGAAGGTAGCAACCTTACTCATGAACGAACAAGAATATTTTTCCAAACTGTAAGAAAAATGGAGTTTTGGAGGGAAAAATTATATATGTTTAGGAGGGTAGGAAGTATGACAGCAATAAAGACTTACTCTTAATCTTCCCAGGCTATCTTTTTAGTTAGGGTAGAGGTTCAATACTTCACAAAGTATGAAGATGACAAATACTAAGAGAACGAAGACATCACAGTGGTAATCAAATAAATAAAATAAGATGAAATACTAACCTGAACTTGGAGGAGAAATAAGAGGTGGTGTTCTAGGAACTGGTGGAGGCGTTGCCCTCTTCATAGCGGGAGTTGAAGATGATACAGGTGGTGGTGGTGATGGAGATGGAGCCATAGGAGGACTTGGGACAGCTAAAGGATATCTTGTCAAACGTCCCAAGCGAGAGAAAACACCTTTCTTAGGTTCACATTGAAAATAACGTATACCGCCAACTGAGCCATCATTTTTTCCTGAAAAAACAAATATTCTATTTAAAAAACAAGCTGCAATGAATGTCATCTTCCCCAATTAATTCACTTTTAGTTATTTAATAAATAGCAGGGTGTCCATGAAGAGTGGTGGCAGAGACTGGCTGAAGTTCTTAATGAGAAGTATAAATGTATTTAACCAAAGGCAAAAAAAATCAAGTACATAAACAAAACAAAAGTACCTAAACACATACAAATATATGTATCAAAGAGTTTTGTGTAAATGAAGTTATTAAATAATGCACACGCACATGAATAAATAACTAAAGTCTTGCTAACACAGTGGATATACCTCTGCCCTGGGTAGTGAAGAGTAAGCCGCTCAAGCATTTTTTCATCATTTCAGACCCAAAATAAAATTATGGATAGTTTACTATATCATCTATTTAAAATATAAATTTAATTTTACAGAAGTCAAACGTGATTAATGTATATTTACAGTGGATCAAAAAAGTATTGGCACATTTAACTTTTTTCAGCTTTCATTATAAAAGAAACCAACATTTCTTTGCTAAACATTTTTATTCAATAAAAGATTTTAAAAAATACATAATTGGGATAAAAAAAAATTAAATTTACTTAATAGAAATTGAGCAATCGAAAAATCACTTCAACACGGTCAAAAAAGTATTGGCACACTTTAATTTAAGGTTTATTTCACGAACTGGAAATTTATTAATATTTTGTCATCATACCATTAGCATCTATGACATCGTGGAATCTTCTGGATATCGACAAAAAATAAAATTTTGAGTCTTGTCCAATTTTACAACATTCCTCTGAAGAAGTTTCTTTTAAATAATTTTAAAAGAAATTTTATTTTTCTTACATTCAAATGCAACAGGTACCATCGGTGTTCTATGGCTTTTTTGTCCGGAGACTGTGGTGACGTTTTCAATGGCTGGAGACATTGTACACCATCCATTCTTTTGTTTTATTTGGTGTGTGCTTGACGTCATTGTCCTATTGGAAGATAAATGCATCTTTGATCCTCAGATATTTGACTATACTTATTAAATTATTTCGCAAAATGTTGACATATTGTTCGACATTCACAATATTTTCAATAAAGGTTAAGTTTCCAACATCATTCCATGACATGCCCTCCCAAACCTGGACGCTTTCACCTCAATGTTTTACAGGTCTCACATGTTGAGTTTGAAACTCAGTATCAAATTTTCCCTAAACGAAATTGTGCCCATTAGAATTGAATATGTTAAACTTACTTTCATCAGAAAAGAATTTTTCTAGAATTCTTGGTCTTTATTAAATTAACTTTGGCAAATACAAGTCTTTTTTTGCATTTCAACTCAATAATAAAAGATTTTTTCCTTTGGAACCTGCCATAATAATTGTATATATATGAATTATATTTCTAATAGAAGGTGGTATTTGAAGATATAACCTCTTCTGGATGGCTAATAAAGTGCAATTTTGCTCAACAATTTGATGGATATACCATACCTTTGAGTCCTCCCATTTAATTTTGGGGGCCGTTCTGAACAGGGTTTATTTAAAACTTTCTAAACTTTTGTGCAATATTCTGAACACTACTAAAACCCATTTCTAATTAATTCGTTATTTGTCGGTAGCTAAGTCGATTAGAATGTAATTTAATGATGGTTTTTTTATACTGACACAATATCGATTGGTTGACCCATTGTTGTTATGGCAAATATACAGCAAAGACTGATTTTTATTGTTTTCATTGTATTACCGTCAACCTTGTTTCTAATCTCTTGAAAGAAAAAGGATTGATTTGTTTTGACTGGAGCTAATAGCAAACATTTAAAACTGTGTCAATACTTTTTTGACTGTCAAAATTTACTCTTTATATTTACTTTAAACACAAACATTGTGAATTCTGAAAATGCATTGCTTCTAAAACATAATATTCAAAGACCACTTTGTTATATAAATATTATTTATGGAAAATATCATAATCCTATTGAGATTGGCATAAAAATTGGAAATACAGTGTGCCAATACTTTTTTGAACCACTGTATAATTATTTATTTAAAAATGAATTTCAAAGAAGACATTCATGACAAATTATTTAGGTATCTATAAAAATGTAAAAATACAAGGAACTCCAGCAATATAAAAAAAAATAAAACATAAGTAATAGTATACTTACTAACTTATTATTGACCATCAAATGATTTGATGTATGCAAGATAATATATTGAATGTATGAAACCAGTGGGATGTATTGAAATAATAAAATAATACAAAAAAATAGAATAAAAATATTTTTTTCATTTCATATCCAAAACTATACAATATTTTAAGCACAACACAAAAACATCAACATTTAAAATGAAATGAGCTAATCTCAATCTTATCTATTATCACCTTAAACAAACAGGAGCAGCCATTGACAAATTATTCCTTTAAAACTAGATCAAATTAATTAAAATATGATCTCCCACAAATAAAGTTATAGGTTTACAGGCTTTATGCATCAATTAATATCTGATTATATGAATTTATTTCAATTTAGAAAAAAAGCCATGTAATAAGAATTATATGTATAATTCTTATTTATATATATATGTATATATTATAGAAATCTATTCTATTTTTATTTAACAAATCATACGTTCATCCAGGTACATATATAATTACAAATACATTAATAAAACATTACATTCAGACCTATGAATTGTTTAATTAGATGTATCCTTAGAGACCCCAGGCATTCCCATGTCTCCAGTTGCTATGCCGAGTTGAAGTGGCTCTATCCATTTTTCGGAAAGCAATATTTCCTAGGTTTTTTTCTTTTCCGAATCTTTAGAAAAAAAAAAACCTTCTTATTTTCTTGATTTCTTTACTCCTTGTTTCTCTGTTCATTCGTTCAACACGAGATCCCAATCCTCAAATCTGTTCCTTTTCATATAACTGTTTCCTTTCAAAAATCCTTTGTCATACGTGCTACATCGTTTTGTAATTCAATACAAACCTCTATATGGAAATCCTCATCCTTGACCTTATTTAAACACAATTTATGTTTCCATCTCCTCAGTAATCAATCTTCCGAAGAAATGTAAAAATAAATCTATTTTGTGCTTCAGAGATGTCAGCAACTTATTACACCGATATCTTGCAGATATTTATGTATGTGCCATATTGCTTATTTGTACAAATACGTCAACTCACTCGTATGTATCTGTCTTTAAATTCATATGTCTACTTCAAGATCATATATTTACTACACAAGGTCTGTCACATACGGATAGGGTCTCATTATATCTATTTATAGTGTGGTACACGGACATACAGCTGATACCTAAAGGGTTCAAAGTGTTGGAAATCTTTGACCTACGTTTTCCAATTTTGTGTAAGGTAATCACAGCTATTCGGTTTTCTTTATCACCCCACTCCATGTTAACTGAGTGAAAGAAAAATACAAAATAATTAGGATTATTATCCTGACATGTAAAGAAAATAATCATTTCGAAAATTTCATGATTCTCTCTAATGTTAAAAGTATCAAAATGGAACATGTACCTCATATCAACATGTCTCAATTGCCTGTTCAATTGCATTGGTTTTGCTTTTGGGTGTTTTTCTTGAAAAAACAAAACACTGATGCCTGAAAAAATGGCCACTTCAAAGGTACCAGGAGGGAGGAAGCTGTAAAGGGAGGCCATGATCAGACCATCCAAGAGCGACAGGTCTAGCTGATAACCACTTCATTGCTACGGAGATTCTCAGAAACTGCTACCGGAGATTCTCAGAAACTGCTACCGGAGATTCTCAGAAACTGCTACGTGTGGTGCAGTGTGGCCGAACGGGCTAATGTGTGTGCACAGCACCGCGCGTTGCCTGAAAACCTGATTATCAAAGATGAAGACAATAAAATTACGAGTTCGCGTCCCGGTGCCTTGGGAGTCTTTTAAATTCCTCGCTCTAACGTCTAGCCCGGAAAAAAACCCCGTATAGCCTAAAAGGCGAGGTAAGAGAGAACAATTAAAAATAGCACACCAGACTTCAGTTGATACTTCTCATCGATTGCATATTGCTCAGAGTACGGATGTCAACGCGCATGCAGTAAGGAGAAGACTCGCTGAACACGACCTGCACGCTAGGGTTCCTGCTTGCGGCTCTTTACTCAGCGCAACAAACCGAGAAGCTGGCCTTCACTTCAGTCGTGAACACACTGTTTGGACAGAAGACGACTTTTTTCTGACGATACCGGATGTAGCCTTAATGGTGCAGACGGAGGTGTTCTAGTGTGAAAAAAAAAACAAGTAAGCAATTAGCTCAGGGCAATATAGCGAGAAAAGTTTGGAGAAATGTCTATATGATCCGAAGGCTGACGCTCAATGAACAGACGTACATCACCGACATCCTGGAGGAATATGTGGGACCTTTTGGCCCGTTTATTCTCCGTTTCCTTTTCATGGAGGAGAATGCTCGGCCGCATATGGAAACTGTTGCACGGGACTGATTAGACTACAAACTAGGTTAGTCCCCGCACCTTAGAATATAGCGGCTCGCAGCCCGGTCTTCAATCCTGCTAAGCATCTTCCAGCTTAGGACGTCCATCCGTTGACAACAGAACCCCCCATGTGATCTCCAAGTAGGTGAATGGGATTAGATTCAAGATCGGGTGTGTGTGTGTATGTGTGTGTGTGTGTGTGTGTGTGTCGGTGTGTGTGTGTGTGTGTGTGTGTGTGTGTGTGTGTGCGTGTGCGTGCGTGTGTGTGTGCGCGCGAGTGTGAATGTGTGTGATTGAATTTTTACACATAATAAAAACTCCCAATTTGTTTTTGTCCCATCGCTCCTCTAATCAAAATCGAAAGTCTGCGCCTATGGTGCCAACGCTATTACATATTTTTATTTATATTTAAAGGAACTCTTATTCTGTGATGTTTCGAATTTGCCGCGGGAAATGTGATAAAATCTTCACGTAAAAATGGAAAGATTATGAATGAATCATACAATCATAGGATATGGTGTTACATATAGTTATCGTCGAATATAAACTACAATTTAAATAATAGGAACATAGGGCATGGTACAATGTGTACCTACTTTTAAGCCTTAGCTTAGCTATCTAGTCGGATTTTTCCTGATTTCTTAATTGATTGTAGAATACATATTCTATTCATTCATATAGATTAAATGTTATTGATTTTGATTTTATTATTATTATTCGAAATATTTGGAGAAGAGAGGAGGGCGAAACGATGTTCTCGCTCCTTCTCTATTTTTATTGCAGGAGGGAGGAGAGGGTGATCGCCCCCCCCCCTCCGCCCAAGTCTGCGCCTATGATTGAACCATTACACCATCTGATGTATTACGATTCCTAACTGTCGGAATAACGATGCGAGTAACTAAACCACGATATTTAAATACCGATTTAGTCGAAAAATTGAGGAGGAGAAATTTTATTATAGTTGCTCTAACATAGACAGAATGTCGCATTAAATATCAACTAAAATAAATTTATGAACAGAACGTTTATACCATATGTTCGAGTTGCTAAATTCCTATTGTATATTAGTAATAATTTTATCACTTAAATTATTACCTATCTTCACCAAAGTGGGGAGAATTCTATCGATTATTTCAGACTCCAATATAACGCAGATAACTCGCCTCGGAACAATAATAAACTAAATAAAACTTTAATTTAAATTTGTTTTCTAATATAATAGTTCATATGAATATTACGGGGCAGATGTTTAGATGTAGTTTTGCAGCTAAAGTTCTGCTTGAATTTCATATCGAATAATTATGCAAAGTGGCAGACTATTTTAACAGATTATATGCAATTGTGGAAAATTGTTTAAAGTAAAAATGACGAACTAAATTTAATCCAGGATCCGAACGATCACAAAAAGTAATAATAATTATTATTGTTGTTATAATGGAGAAATGATGTGCTGAATTTTAAAACGTTGAAATAGCTAGATCTAGATATATTGTAAAAACTAAACATCATATGCATGGCAGTTTTTATAGGCACAGCAGAAAATCAAACCAAACCTTTAAATAAGATAACTTTAAAAACAATTGATTCACAAAATGATCTGTTGTTCCAGATGAATAAATATTCAGGAATAACACTATATATAGCAAATTAATACTTAAAACAAAAGAAGCCTTATTGTTAAATTAATTAGAGTATACATAAAGAGAACTAATGATAAATATACTTACCAATGGGCTCTTCCAAAACGATTCCAGCCCAGTCGCCAGATGCGAATTGCGTTTCTCCTATAAACGCAATCCTCCCTGGTTTCGTTCCTCCAACCCATACTTTATCCCCGACAATAAAGCTGTCTGTGTCTTCGGTAAGAATAACGCTGTTATCTGAAATTAGTACAACCAACAATTATATGGATGAACAATCTTGACAGAACAATTGACAATGGAATGAAACAAAGGCCAATAATAGATCCCATTAAATAACGAACCCTCGACATGTAACTCCAATTAACGAACGTATTTAACTCTTGATTAAAAGAATCTTCTTCCTAGCATTTCTGATCGGCTAAAATAGATCGTGAATTGGTAGGACTGGAAATATGTTGCATGCATTCAATCTCTACAGGAAATAATTTTGTAAATATTCTTGAATATTCTTAACAAATAGTTAAAATAATATTCATAAAATAAATCTTGCATTTTTCTTGTTTATGAATGATTTCGGCAAAGTTACGAAACAGGTACTATCTCAAACAAATGTTATATCCTCCTTAAATACCGTAATATTGTTTTTTTTTTTTAATTTTGAAAATCTATGTACATGTATTATATCTTCTTTTTTTTTTTTAATCTTTTGTAAATCATCCGAATCCTCTCGTTTCAAACCTTGCTTCCTCCTCGATCCCTGATAACCCTCCGAGGCGTCTGAAAAGAAGATGGCCTCGGGATCTTCTAATATAGAACTTTAATTTGAGTTCTACCAATGGGTAGTTTCTCTTCATGTTGTACATGCCATGTTACAAATTTCTCATTTACTTATTGTATTCTCTATGTAATACAGTTGTAAATTCCATTAAAATAATAAAAAAAAAAAAAAAAAAATCTTTTGTAAAATTTAATACATTAGTACGATGAGAAGAAACGTTTATTAAAACTTTGGGCTTCGTAACATCATGCTAAGATTTAAGTGCTGAGCAGTCACAATTAGCGTCAATAATCTGAAAAGTTGTAGGCTGTCCTTCTGGCCCAGCTTCCGTAAAGCCATCATTTGCAGTCGCAATAAAGAGCAGGGACAAACTTATAAGCCTCTTGTTGACTTGAGAGAAAAATCTTTCCCACAAACAACCAAAACCTACCATAAACTTATTGCTAGATCAGATTAATACGGAAAAGAAACGCAGGTGAAATCCAGAACACAAGTAGAGCTAAGTAAACTATCAATGTACTGAATGTAGACATTTATATCTTCGTATTTATCTTTAAACCGCCGTATTTATATAATCGTCAATTTTCTAGAATAAAGGACATATATGTTTATAAAACAAGGAATAGTTTTGCCTAAAGCCATTAAAAAGTAAGTAAACAATTATTTTATTATTAACCTTCGAAATAATAAGAAGTAAAATAAACATATAGAATATGATCTTGTAATTAAAACTAAACCAGTGTTATGGGAACAAGAAATTATAAAGCCTAAAAAAAGAGATTACGGAGATTTTAATTTTACATTTCATAAATAGCTTTACAAAGTTGACAAACAAAAAGAACACAGACACAATGAGCAGTACAAATCCCAGCATGCTTTCTTACCAGGGTACTGATTCCTGAAAATAAACAATTAATAAATAACAAACATGTTTTTTTTATTTTGAAGTAACCATTCGCATAAGTTTTAAAACAAAAGAGAAAGGACAAAAAAACGATAAAATACATTTTTATAATTTTTTTCTACTTTCACAATAAAAATAAATAATTAAGTATTGGAAACTGTAATGATTACTAGTGAATGATTCACTCCAAAACAGTATAAAAAAAAAAAAAAAATGACACCTAGATTTTGAAATTGAAATTATTATTAATAATACCATTTTTATCAATGAAATTAATTGAGTTATATTTATGATTAAATGGTGATATTTTAATGATATAATCTATTGGTTAGATAAAATAATAAACTCTAAATACTTCAATTGATTAATTTTTTATGTGTTTCATTTGCAAACCAAGGAAATATAAATAATAATTCACCTGAGGTCCTCCTTATACCGGCTTCGCTGAGCCTTCTTGCGTCACCCCACAGAGAGTCGTTGGACGACATCCCACCGACTGCATGCAATAAAACATGTACCAAACACCAAGCAAACACACACAAGCATGCTAATACATAGTGCAAACATAATATGCGTACATATAAATCATGGCACATAAATATAAAGCTAGAATGTGATACAGCATACGATATAAATATATATGAATAGTTGTGGTCATTCCTTGCCTCCTAATAGACGAAATAAAACAAATTACTATCGAACAAATACGTTCGATACTTATTATATGTAATCATATTTCTCTGCTCAAAGATTTCATATCTAAGAAATTAAAGATGCCGTTAAATAATTTAATGAAATCAAAGAATATAAACACGAAATAACTGTCACCCATCTTAGGCAAAATAAAGCTGAAAGCAACTCCTCAAGATTATCTGCGGCGATTCATTTTTTAATTTTCATTTTACAGAGGTGGTACAGTGGGCGGATTGGTTCCCAACTTTAATAGCAACCATTTTGTAACGGTATTTTTGCCGGCAAAAGTTATTCTGATTTGTAAATTACATTTTTCTTGAGCAACGGAAAGGTTTTAAATTTAAAGACTACCATTACCATAAACCTTCCATGGTAAAACTCAGCATATTTTTCTTTAAACACTCTATAAAACTCGTATAGTTTAGTAAAGCAAAAGAGAAAAAAAAATAAAGATTTTAAAATCGATTCAGAATACATAAACAAAGATTTATTGCTTAATATCGCAATACACAATTTTTAAACATAGTAAACTAAACAAACCTAATTGCATGATTTAAGTTAAAACGATAAAAGACACTTACGCAACATGACACCATCTTGTAATTAAGAGTAAAAAATACAATCGGATTAACTTTCTTGTAAACAACACTAAACCAATTAATTATAATAATCGGATTAGTGTTCTCAGATTTTTTTTAATTCTCCCACCTGCTGTTGTGCCAGCTACTAACTGTACGTTGAGATATTTTGGCACTCACTCACCACGTAACAATAACAATAGGGACCAATATTAAAAAAATAAAACCTATATATTCTCATAACATCGAAATATTAAACTGTATTTCCTGAAGAATATTTGAATGATTCCAAAATGTTATTGAAAATAACAGAGTGAATAATTTATTCTTAACAGTCTTATTCACCGTTGTTTTTTTTTATGGATATTTTAATAGAAACAATTAAAACTAATGATTGCTTACTTATCTGAAAATAAGTTAAAACGATAAAAGACACTTACGCAACATGACACCATCTTGTAATTAAGAGTAAAAAAAAAAAAAAAAATATCAAGTAATGTATGTTTATAAAATATTTTAGCTTTTACTTTAAAACTTGTTATTTGAAAATACGTTTATTCTATACATATATATATATTTAGTTGTATATTTGTAATTTTTTTTTTATTATAAGAAAAAGTTATATGATAACGATTTTAAAGTGGTTTAAGTTAGTAATATAAGCCCTGAGACCATATTGCTACGTAGAAACATATTTTTTGTTAAAATTAGGCATAAAATTTCTGTGGTTTCCAAGAGATCATGGTTGCAGTATTGTATGTTTTATTTAAAATTAAAATGTAAAAATAACGGAAATTACACATTTATATGAACCAAATAGAATTATCGTTTTGTTGAGCAATATGGCTATTTGTTATTTTATAAAACATTTCCAAACGAAAAAAATTCATTTTAATGAATAAACCAGTAAAACCGGTATTACGTTTAAACCACATCTTTATATTTTCATTTGAATAAAATCTAACGGGAATATTATTCACAGAAAAAACTTTAAGCAAGTTCACAAGTTAGATATCACATATTCTAAAATGTTATATAACTTCATTTCAAGACGAAGTAATACTTCATACAGCGAATAAAGTAAAGATATAGGTCCTAGCTAGTAAAGATCTAAACCGATTTTTGATGTGGATTTTAATACATTACAGATAACTCAATCGTCACAATGCTGATCATTTGTAGTATTAAATCTATTCTATAAATAATGTTTACAACAATTACTAATAAGAAATTTTCAAAAATCTCAAAATCATAAATTTGATACAAAAATCGATCATCGCTTAACATATTGATTATGAAATTAGCAGGCAAGGAATGAACACTGGAGGCAGAGAGAAAAATCAGCCCACATGATGACCTTATGGAAGTTCCCCATAGAATAGCTTTAAAAAGATCTATGTAGGTTGATTGATTTTTTAACAGAATCAAAATAGACATGGTGAGCCCAAAACCATGAAACGAGCATGCCATAAATAATGCATAGAAATAAACTTAGATAAAATAAAAGAATGATTAAGATAAGATAGAACAGACATAAAGTGGAAACAATTGGGATAGTAAAACATGGCTGGACATATAAAAAAACCACACTGGTATTTTTTAAAACCATATTCATTTTTTTATGTTAGGACAGCCATGCTTCCGTAAAACGTTTGACTATAAAAATGAGGGCCGATAACGTATTTGTATAATGTAAATCATCGGCTTAAGTCAAAAGTCATTAAGTAGCATTCCATAAAATTAAATCGCTAAGCGCTTTGATGGATTTTCGGGCTGTGAAATCAGAACACTGTGCAGTTCTTGTAACCCTATTTTGATATATATTAGGATTGGTTTCATTTTGATGTACTTAATGTGTTCTTGCATCGATGAATAAGCTTGGAATTTAATCTTACGGTGAGATCAGTCATGATGAAGGGCATAATTTTGGGCCGATACGTCGGCAAAAATAAAAATAAACATCATTTATTTATTTTTTGCTTTTTACATTTGACTTAACACCCCAACCAACTTCTCTTTAAAAATATAAATGAATAAAAAAAAATTGTCAACCCCAAACATACATGATACCCAAGAACACGGATTTGTATACAGTTTCACATTGTTGATTAAACTGTGAAATATCTTTACGAATTAGTGTACTATAATATACAATTAGGCAATCATTATTTTGCATATTTGACATTTAATGCATATAATTGCATATTTTGATTATTTTAATTAAATTAAAAAAATAGAATTCGAATGTAATATTGGCGAAGGAATTCCGGATTACAATCTTAGGTTCATTTTAAATTAAAAAAAAAAAAAAAAAAATCAACGAAATAACTCTACCTACAGTAATCGACTTCTTAGAATATACATATATATATATATATATATATATATATATATATATATATATATATATATATATATATATATATATATATATATATATATATATATCCCAGCTTACAATCGTAATATTTGTGATTATCTTAAATTCTAAACAGTTTGTTTATTGATTAGTGAAATCGAGTCGATAACGTTTATTTGATATTTACTGTCATCACACCGATTGATGGAAAAGTATAATTTTTTTTTATATAAAATATTTCAACTGTAGAAAATTAGTTTTTCAGAAACAAATTTATTATTTAATTACAATGTAGATATCTAAAACTTAAATTAAAAGTAATCCATTCGCATTACATTTATTTTGTTCATGTAATCAATTAGTTTTTAATTACATGGTGTTCTCTTATTACTGGTGAAAAAAGAAAAAAGCATAAAAATATATGTTTTTTATTTAATGTTCTATCGTTTCTCCGATTTCTTTAACGCAGAATTATTTGTAGGCGGATTACTATAACTAAATATTTTATCTGGATTATTGCATATTCTAATATTTATTATATGCATATTTTGTGTTTTACTACTGCATATTTTACTCTTTTTTTTTTTTTTTTTTTTAACTTCATATTAAATGGTATATTCTGTGGACTTTTACTTCATAAATACCCGGGCTCTGCTAATGACACATCTACAGGAAACCAGTGAAAACATTGAGTGGGCAGAGAAGTATAAGTCCAGAATCCCACACCGGTATCTCATAAATCAAAATGACCTGTCCCAATCCAAAGTAGGATAAAGATAGTGGGGGTCAAGAACAATTGATCGAAACAAATATCTTGCTTTCTTAACTGTATTAACGTTTTGTTTTAGACGAAATTGTAAAAATTACAAAACAGATATAATATACTTAACTTTTAAAATCCGCTGAAAAGTAATTTAGTGAAATGGAAAGGGAGGGAGGAGAAAATTTACAAATGATAATTCTAAATTCTAATGACTGATCACTTATTAACCGTACCAAATACTCTATTCATTCCATATTCGCCCACTTTTCTTCAGTTGAGCCTTCAATCAGTGGCCATAACATAGGAAGGAATTAAAACCTCTTTTTATTTATTTGAGGGCGATGTGGTCAGCATAAAACTCGACGGCCACTTATTTACACGGGTATTAGATAACATGGCTCTGAGAGTTGGAATATTGCCATCTCTCTCTCTATCTCCTTATCAATGGACATCAACACTTTTTACACTTAAATGTAGAACGAGCCTTCAATAAATAGCTTAAAAAAAATTGAATATGTACTAAGACAAAATGTGACAGCTAATACGAAAATAGAGTTAAATTCACAACTTTAATGCTTTTGATTGCTTAAAATGTTGATGCTTCAATGCTTGATCAAATCTAAAAACTAGCTAATAACTAATGAAAATAAAGCGAAGTGCATAGGCATTCTACAACAACCTGCAATCATAAAAACAGCTGCAGTGTATTGCAAATCATGAATGATCTACCAGTGCTCATACCAGTACTATGAATGGAGAAATAATGCATAAATAAAAACTACTTAGGTGATAATAATCTATTCTAATCTAAATAGAATGTCTATTGGATTATCTTTATTTAATTAAAACATATTTGGTAGTTATATATAATATATTTATATTTGCTGTTTAACAAAATCGGAGGGTGAAATAAAAAGAAGAAAAAAAAAATTTACAATTCAACCATGAAACAGAAAATGGATATACTTTATGAACCTGCAAATAAATATTGTACATAAATTGAGAAGGTTTTGAAAATAAAAATAAATGAAACATTCAGAATAAGAAGTATAGTTTTACAGAAGTTTAAAAGATTTATTTTAAGATGAGAAAAACTTCATTTCGCAACTATTTATCAGACCATTACATAGCTCATACTAATATAAACAATAATTACAACAACTGTTAGATAATTTTTTTTAAATAAAAATCTTTAGTCTAAAAAAAAAAATTTATTTTTGCTAATCCATTAGACATTGGCTAAACACTCTAAAATAACTACTTACTTGAAGATTTTCTGTCATAGCTTTCCCTTCTTCCAAATCCATGATAAGGTTCTTCTTCTTCTGTTTCTTCTAGTATTTAAAACATAAAATATCTCACTCAAATAAATCAATTAATATACAATTAAGAACATACCTTTACGTTACGAAATCAACTACGATCTCAGAAAACAATTAATTTGCTTAAGAGACATGTGACATAATCAAGAATTCATGCATAGCAATAAAATTGTCAAATGATGATAAAACACCGTGCATAATGAAAATCATAATAATAATGCATGCGGAAATAAAAAAATAAAATAAAAAATAATATAATAAATATATATTTCAGAAAAAATACCTAATACTAATTAAATAAATTAAAAGTTAAAAAATGTATGAAACTATACCAGTTATTTTCGTTTTCATCAAATCTTCACTCAATTTTCTAACGGATGAAGTGGTCCCATCTGAATTAATAAAAAAAAGATGCTGTTAGAAAAAAAAAACACAAACCATGCAAAAAAAAGTTAATAATGAAAATTTAAATCCAAACAAAACCAACACTTCAAAAATTATAATTCATTTAAAGTAGATTTACACCAGAGGAGAGTTACCATTGAATATTTTCTTCTTGTTTATAATACTATATTATGACAACAGTGAATAAATAAGTAGATATAGTAAAAAAATATATATAAAATTAAAGACTTTCTGTAATTAGATAATGGAGTAATATTACAAGCCATATCATTTATTTTAAACGGAATTCGATTCTGAAATAATACAAAATGATCTACAAACAAAATTAAATAAATGATAAAGAAAGTTAAATCTCACAAAAGATTAATAAAATAAGAAAAAATAAACTAATGGCTTGCTTTCAAGTTCTGTACATTAAAAAGTCATCGAAGTAGTTTTAAAAAAATTCACACTTCGAAATAATTTACAAAGAACATAAGTTAACTCGAATAACAACCACACATTGCACATAAGGGAAGACATTTCATAATGATATGTTCGTACAGGTATAATATAAAACCAATTTAAGGAAATCTCAGGAAATACAAGAGAAAACAAAATAGAATAAAAAACAAAAGAAAACACTACGGAAAAACACAGGAAATAGTAAATAAAAAGAAAGTGTAGAAAAAATCACACATCGGTATACATCACCATCGAACAAAAATCATACCTCATATTACCGTAAATCAATGTCCACATAGAAAATCTGTTTAAGATTTATTTTCATCTTAAATAGACTACAGCTGGGGTAATGTTGACAAATATCTCGGGCACCTGATGATATATTACCAAAAAAAATAAAATTATTATTTTCAAAAATGTGGATAGATTAATAAAAGAAATATATATAATAAAATATAACAAAAGATGAAAACTGTTCAGATAACAATGAATATTTTTTCCGCCAACAATCACACATTCATCAATAAGTAATCAAGTATTCTGAACAGAGATTTATACCAAGCCACTATCAGGCAGCAAGTCATGCGATGTGAACGTACTCCATCCTCCGGGTGGTCTAACGTAATATGAAAAATTACTGATATCAAGAGAATATAGTAACTAATGTTTAGTTACACTTCATTTAAAATTGTTGAGCTCGGTAATCTGGCAACATTGCCTCTTATTTAACTTGCAAATTAGCTACATGAAATGATAGCATGTTATTTTAAACTTGCTGAGTAGAAGATAGGATCCTCCATCATCTCAGAGGAATGTCAGGAGAAAGGTGGAGTCGCACTGGAGGGCACCAACCGAGGCGATGGAAATTTTCTTTCAAATCGTTAATACTTCCAAAGATTTGTTAATAATATAATTTATTATTACATAAGTACATTACGTGATTCTAAATCTTAATACTTCCATATTATAATCAGTAAACATCATATAATAACTATAATACTATCATACTACGACCTTAAAAATAAACAAGAACCTCATTTCACAATGGAGAGAGTGAAAAAAACAATGTCAACTGGTTTTATAAAACAACATTGGAACGAAACTCGGAATTATCTGCACTCAACTGAGAAATTTCGCAATTTTAATTTGAAAACGTTAATATTATTTCTATGGTCTCAGGTCATTACTAGTCAAGTCGAAAACTGATGAGAAAATAAGTAAACTACACTTGACTTGACTTGAGTTACCGAAGTTTCTCAATGGTGTAAGAGCCCAAAAACAATCTTCGACTTAACGTAATTACAGAATAAGCCGACTTGTCTAGTTATGGTCGGAGACCAGAGATTTCAGGTATTTAAATATTTTATTATTTAATGGCGTTTAGTTGTAAGTAATAACAAAATAAAGGGTCGGTTGTTCCACTTAATGCCGATGGAGGCGGGAGTAGGGTCAAGTGAATTCAAATTTATTTCAACGGCCTAGCACTCAAGTCACGATCGGAGGACTAAACCAGGACTAAATCACCAAAGCACTAACTTATCACATTGTAATACTATAATTAGCTCAATGCCGAGGGGTGTATTGTTTTCATATTCACTGGCGGGATTCACTCGTTTTTCCTTATGCCTATTGCAAAAAATAAATAAAATATTGCAAGTAAATGAAATAACACTATCAAGAGGCATGGGGAATTATCCGTTCTCCGTCACGAGTTTAGTTTGAAGTCACGAGCTAAATTTATTTTTAGCCAACTGTAAAAGAGAATTTTAGAAGTGGTAATAGTTTTCACGCTACTTGTGCACAGTAACATGAGCGTGAGTGAGCATGAATATCTTAAAAGAGCAAATGCTAAATTTCATTTTTCTCTTCCTAAAATGCTGTCTTTTCACAAACGAAACATGAACAAGGAGCGGTCATAACTTAGATCTATTTAACTTTCATTACTAGAAATGTTATGAACAATACATAAATGACGTCTTTCTAAAACGTTTGATAGCCAAATTATCAAGGCAGTATAATTTTCAGTGGTAGCTGAACACTAAATCACTACCGCATAGGATAACCAAATACAAGTACACAGGATGCACTACAAATTATTCCGGAAATTTAAGTGAGAGTTAATAGACTTTAATCGCAAAACAAAAGTTCATCAAAGTATGTTTTAAGTAATTCTTAATTTTTTGTTGAATATGAAACAATAAATAAAAAAAAAATAGGCCAGTTAAGCAATTCTCAAAGGCAGAATCATGAACAAGACAATATTTTCTTGTTAAAATCATTCAACTAACTACTAATTTTACCTAAAACAATGGTATTTCGAGAAGACAGAAATTCGCCTGACTGAGAATTTGACAAAACTAAAAGCGGATTTAGAATTATTCTATAACAGAGCAACTACCTCAACAACATAGAATAAAAGAAAATTTTTCTAAAGGTTGGGAATCCATAGTCTAGTAGGAGGCTGATAAAAATATGTGAATAATCCATAATTTTATGAAAAAAAAAATAACAGCCTTGTTTAGCAGCTTGAAATTCCTTTTAAATGCTACTAAAAAAAGTAAAACAATTTTACTATATTTAATTTTAGTTTCAATTTAAAAAAAGATTCATCGAAATTTCGAAGCAGGGAATGTGATTTTTTTTTTCTCACTCTCCAATTGTATTTGCTTTTTCCCAGCTAATGTGGATTACTTAACTTTTTTTATCGCATATACTTTTTACCAGTATAAAACGAAAAAAAAAACACGTTAGCCTAAAATATCACATTAAATTTTCCTCTTTTCCTCTAACGAATGCTCATATCCCTATTGTATTTTTATGTTATATCCGATTGTGAGTGCTGCTATAAAAATCTAGAGTTTTGGGCACAATTTACTTCAAATTCTGCGTATTCGATAAAATGTGAATATGAAAATTAATAATTCAAATTCAAGAGAAATTTCAATATTAATCAATAAACATATTAAGAAATAAATACCTAAGACTTTTAATACGCAGATCAAATTTACTAGTATTCAAATATCAATAAAATGTAAATTTAAAAAACACTTTATATATATTTATTTTAATAATCAGAAAATATTTTTGAACTTTTGTACATTTGCTGACTTCTCTCTAATAGGATAATAAAAGATACTAAAAATAAAAAATAAAAAAATGAATTATAAAGTAAAGTAAGAAGGAAAAAATCATAAACAAACTGATAGTTCAAAAACTTTGATAAGTATGATAATAATAAAATAAATAGACTACTTTAAAGAGGTTTGTTATTCAGATGAGGTATATGTTCATTTGAATCCTTTCAGTTTCTACTTCACATTCCCTCCGGCGACATATGAACTTTGATCTAAAGAAAATACCTTGACCTATTCAAGTGTTGTAAAACAATAGTTATTTGTAGAAGTACTTGACTCGAATTTACAAACAACCGTTATTGTCCTGGATACATGACAGTAAGATGCAATAGGATCTTGTCTAATAGCTGATGAGCTGAATAATCATGAAGCAAAGGATATGATGGCAATATCTTCTGATTCGTAAAAACTATATCGTCGGCAGGCACCTTCAGCTTATAAAGAATTAAGGAGAAATCAGGCAGGTAGATTAATTTTCAAATTAGACTTCACAAAAATATCACAATTAAAAAAAAATGAACCTGACTAGTTTCACCTACTTAATTATACACAATAGAGTTTTAATTATTGTAATAAAGCAGTGAATAAACAGTTAAAGTGATCATGACCATATCTATACCCCGGAAGTAAAGGAAACTATGCCATATTTTTGTATTTGTTCGGTGAGTCAATTTTCCACGACTTTGAGCTATTGAAATTTGTTTCGTAGTTACTGAATTATTTAATTTTAAAAATGGACTAGATGCCAGTTACCTATATGATTCGTTCGTACGGATTCAAAATTCAAAATGTATAAATTTATCATATAGTTTATTTCCAAGTTAATATATATAAGTATACCCACCACTACACTGAGTTGAGGTGGCTCATCCCTTCCTCTGAAGATATTTCCTATATTTATTTATATTATAATATAAATATATTACATTATTATAATATAAATTTTATCATTTTATTTTAGATTAATATATTATAATTGTATTAATATATTTATTTCCTAGTCACATTCCTTTATCAAACCGTCAACAATCATCGATCTTCTTATACTTACAACCTTCTCCAATTAATCCTTAGTCCATTCCCTTACAATATCTCAACCTTCTGACCTTTACGTCCATTTTCACAGATCTGCCTCATTCTAAAGCTTCCTTTCACTCTCATTCTAAAGTTCTTTAGCTTTCTGGAACTCCCTTCCTACCAAAATCCGGCATGCCCCTCCATATCCACATTTAAAATCCTCTTATCAGAGGTGTATCCTATCAGATATCTGTAACCTTTTTGATTTTTATAGTTTGTTTTCTTTTTTCTTAGAAGTGAATATATATACTGCTATACCATTTTCGATGGAGTTTGTATATAGTTTTAAGTGTTTTGTTTGTAGTTTTTATTATATGATTAGTTTACTTAAT